CTCCTGGAGTGGGTAGAGCCATTAATAAATATGTAATCTGCAATATCACTAGATAATTAATCAGTGTAACTTTACACTAGATGGACAATTGTTTTCCTCTCCATGGTTTCAAGATCCTATCTATTTTGATATGTTTTCAATCGAAGTTAATAGTTGCAAGATCACTAAACTTTTCCTGGATATGTACACCAAGCACATCAACTTCACCATCCACCCATTTAAAATCGGGAGACCACATAGAAATGTGTATCCTTTAGAGACCCAATCTAACCCTAAACCTAACCCTAACCCTAACTCTAGTAGTTGGGTTTTAGTCCAGAGAAACTAGAGAATTTATCCAGGTCCCCAATAAGGACCTTCAAGGTTGAAAATGTAGGACTCAAATAAAAACTTGAATCATCGGCATACATTGATACTTTTCCCTGTACTCCATACATTTTTGGCCCCTTAATGTTATCATTAGATTTTTATTGCTAACAGTTCAATGGCCATAATAAATACGTATGGTGACAGAAGGCAACCTTGTTTACATTAAAATTTTAGTCATTTAGCAGACGCTCTTATCCAGAACGACTTACAGTTAGTGAGTGCATACATTATTTTTTTATTTTTCATACTGGCCCCCCGTGGGAATCGAACCCACAACCCTGGCGTTGCAAACGCCATGCTCTACCAACTGAGCTACATCCCTGCCGGCCATTCCCTCCCCTACCCTGGGCCAATTGTGCGCCGCCCCATGGGTCTCCCGGTCGCGGCCGGCTACGACAGAGCCTGGATTCGAACCAGGATCTCTAGTGGCACAGCTAGACCACTGCGCCACTTGTTTCACGCCTCTTGACAATTCAAAGTTCTCAGAAGTAACGGTTTTTATTTATTTTTACATAGTATTGTTTTACATGACTTTTACCCATCTTATGAGATTATCCAAAGTTGAAAAAATCCAGGCACTTAAAGATTCTAGACGTACTGTATCGAAGGCTTTCTCTGAGAAGTAACTATTTTTTATTTATTTTACATTTTTCAAAATATGCTATAACAATTATACCTGTTTTCCTTGCATTTTCATAGTTTTCAATTATTTATAGTAGTTGTCTAATGTCTCCAATATATCTTTCTTTTAAGAATCCTGTCTGACTGTGATGAATAATGTCCGGTAGGACCTTTTTAATTCTATGTCCAATACATACAGCACATGTTGTGTTGTTGACACACAAGTGTTGTGTGAAAGCTCAGTCAGTGGGTGTACTGCCAGTGACCTTTCTTTTGAGTTGGTCTGAACTTGAATTGCATAGGAGAAGGTAAAAGTTGCTCCCTAGACACTGATTTAGGGTCAGGTATTTCTTTATCCCCCTAATGGTTAAGGTTAGGATATGGGGTAGAGAAATAAAGATTGCTTTATTGTCACATAAATCTGTAGTTAGTGGCAACTACCATCTAAACTAGGCTCTTCTTGTAGATGAAGCAGATAAGCGAATCAGGAAGCTCTGAAAATAAATTGGTTGTTTGACTGGTTGTCACGTGAACGGCGGAACTTTTGGAGAACGTTGACATTGTGTTTGCCTGTAAATCTCACTGTGGTGTATAAGTACAGGGTGTATCTTTACTGCCCTACTGTATGAATGATGACAGATTGACCCAAATGATATATTAAATGAGAGTGAGGTGCCTTGTCACTCACAGGTCCTATTAGGACCATACAGCTGCAGGGTCCTGTTCAGTCGGTCACACTGTAGCAAAATGTTTTGCAATGGAAAACTAAAATCTTAACGATAGGCATTCAGAACTGGCAGACTGGTAATCACAAAACTGCACTGCAAATACCAAACAGTGTTACATAATGAGACAGAGGCATACCAACATATTTTTATCAGTGTGATTTTTTCCAAACCCCTGATGTTTTGTCTTAGTTGACAGGACACCCTGGGGACACCAATCAGTGCCCCAGAGCAAAAGGGAAAGGCGGTGGCACTGTGTGTGTGTGTATCTTGATTTGCTTGACGTCCACTCTCCCATTTTAGTGCTACTGGTGAAGGTGACTTGTGGGGGAAAATGAAGATTGATGGAGTGCTTTGTTTGTCAAGGGAGGTTGACGGGAGAGTAAATGAGCGTGTGAGTTGGGCATGCGTGCTTATTTTGTACTTCAACAAAATTAATGTTAAATACATTTGTCTGACTCAGCAAGGCCGACGTTTAGGTTTGCTTACATTTGACAGCCGCCCTCTCAGAACTGTCTACGAAACATCAAACTGGCAACTCCAAGCTGAATGCTAACACATTAACCCACAGCAGCAGAGCAGAACGAGATGGGGATGGTTGCCAGATTAGGCATGGGGAGGGATAGGTGTAAATGGCAGCAGCGCTCATGTTTGTTCAGTCATTCATAGATGGCGGTGTGGGCTGAATGTGAATCCTGTATGAATATGCATGCACCTGGACAGAAGGGGGAGGAAGAAATGGGGGAAGAGTAGGCGAAGAGGAGAAAATGGGGGGGGGGGGGGATACCTACTTGACGACAGGGGTGAACAGGCTGTGCAGGCGACAGTAGAGCCTCACACCCTACGGGAAGAAGAGAGAGAATGAGTTTTGATTCACTGTATCCTCAACAGGAAAGCCTCAAACTCAGGGGCAAATTTTTCCTTAGTCTCCCATTGACATCAATGCACGACTATGTGAACATTTTACTTAAGAGGCAGTTAGGATTAACCCGGAGAGTCCAAAAGCAGAAGCAGTGCTGTAGTATGTAGAGACACCTGGCGGAAGTTGACTTCTTAAAAGGGGTAATCCGCATTTAGTACATACATATTTGGACTTTTAAATAAAAAATATATAGCCATTGATTCTTGAATAATATAACTTATGAATGCCTAAAAAGTTTAGTTCAACTGTCTTACTTTATCATCATAACCCAAAATATAAGTGTTTTACTCCATTGTTTGTAAATAATGTAATTGTAAACAAACACTGTTTAGCTTCAAAACATGGTTTTGGATAAATCTACCAAGAATGGTCAGTCCTTGCATCCATAGCGCTATCTATAAATTTGAAAGTGGTAACATTTCTTTAGCCCCATCCCTTAGCTGTTTACCAAATTAAGTGGTGGGATGACAGCTTTGTTGTTTTTTGAATTGCAGATTGCCCCTTTAAAGTGATAGTTCATACAACATCTTTTGAGTCAGTCAGATGTGTTCAGACATCAAAAGTATCACTAAGCTCTGATCTCTTGCCTACATCCCAGAACGACTTTGCAGATTTCTCTACATCTATGGCTTTGGTGCTAACATTCTAAGTGCACTATTGCTATTTTTCATCTTGATATATAACAGGGTTGGAGTCAATTCCATTTAAAATGAGATAATTCAGGATTCCAAAGTTTTCCTCCTGAATTGAAGTGGAATTGACCTCAACCCTCATATATACAGTGCCTTCAGAAAGTATTCACAGCCCTTGACTTTTTCCACATTTTGTTGTATTACAGCCTGCATTTAAAATGGATGAAATTGAGATGTTTTTGTCGCTGGCCTACACACAACACCCCATAATGTCAAAGTGGAAATATGTTTAAGAAATGTTTACAAATTCATTAAAAATGAAAAGCTGAAATGTCTTGAGTCAATAAGTATTCAACCCCTTTGTTATGGCAAGCCTAAATACATTCAGGAGTAAAAATGTGCTTAACAAGTCACATACGTTGCATGGACTGTGTGGGCAATAATAGTGTTTAACATGATTTTTGAATGACTACCTCATCTCTGTACCCCACACATACAATTATCTGTAAGGTCCCTCAGTCGAGCAGTGAATTTCAATTCACCACAAAGACCAGCGAGGTTTTCCAATGCCTTGCAAAGAAGTACACCTATTGGTAGATTGGTAAAAAAAACAAAAAGAACAGACACTGAATATCCCTTTGAGCACGGTGAAGTTATTAATTACACTTTGGATGGTGTATTCATACACCCAGTAACTACAAAGATACAGGCGCCCTTCCTAACTCAGTTGCCGGAGAGGAAGGAAACAGCTCAGGGATTTCACCATGAGGCCAATGGTGACTAAATCGTGTTACACAGAGTTTAATGGCTGTGATAGGAGAAAACTGAGGATAGATCAATAGCATTGTAGTTACTCCACAATGTTAACCTAATTGACAGAGTGAAAAGAAGGCACTTATATTGCAAAACATGCATCCTGTTTGCAACAAGGCACCAAAGTAATACTGCAAAAAATGTGGCAAAGCAATTAACTTTTTATCCTGAATGCAAAGTGTTATGTTTGGGGCAAATCCAATACAACACACTGTCCATATTTTCAAGCATAGTGGTGGCTGCACCATGTTATGGGTATGCTTGTAATCGTTAAGGACTGGGGAGATTTTCAGGATAAAAAAGATACGGAATGAAGATAAGCACAGGCAAATTCCTAGAGGAAAACCTGGTTCAGTCTGCTTTCCACCAGACACTGGGAGATTAATTCACCTTTCAGTAGGACAATAACCTAAAACACAAGGACAAATCTACACTAGTTGCTTACAAAGAAGACAGTGAATGTTCCTGAGTGGCAGAGTTACAGTTTTGAGTTAAATATACTTGAAAATCTATAGGAAGACCTGAAAATGGTTGTCTAGCAATGATCAACAACCAATTTGACAGAGCTTGAAGAATTTAGAAAATAATAATGGGGCAAAAGACTCACAGCTGTAATCACTCAGTGCTGTGAATACTTATTTATGTAGTTTTGATATTTCTGTATTTCATTTTCAATACATTTGCAAACATTTCTAAAAACATGTTTTCACTATCATTATGGGGTATTGTGTGTAGATAGGTTCAAAAAAATCGATTTAATCCATTTTGAATTCAGGCTGCAACAACAAAATGTGGAATAAGTCAAGGGGTATGAATACTTTTGAAGGCACTGTAGATAGATACCTTTGACATGATGTCCTCCATCTCGCTCCTGGCCTTATAGGTGCCGTCGTCATAGCGGAAACGGTACAGCACCTGCTCATTCTTGAACTGGTGCTTGTCCGACACTGAAACGTCAAGAAAGACAGAAAGAAAGTGTGTGGGAGAGGGAGAGAGAGAGAAGGGGGGGGGGGGGGGATGTCAACAACTGATTGGTGCAATAGTTAAACGTTCATCACTATCACACTTCATTTAACCAGTAGGGTTGCTGTTGAGTATAGATAAACACTTACAGAACATCCATTGAGCCAGTGCAAGGGAAGACCCGTTGAGTCCAAAGGGGAAAACACAGGGGGAAATTGGATGCTGAGACTCGACACACACACAGAGCTACCAATGACCAAAATATGTCTCTCTCTCCTGCCTCCTTTCCCTGCCACCCTCTGCTGTCACACTGAATCTCAGTCACCATCATCCGTCCCCCATTGTCTCCCCCCTTAAGGTGCCTAATGGGTGACAGCCCTGTCCCCCGGAGGCCAAAGCCATCACCATCAGTGGCCTCCGCTATCCTACAACCCCCCTAATCCAGTCAGTGTTGTCTGTGGGCCTACTGGGCCACCGTAGACAGTGTCAGAAACATGAGGGTGTCTCTCAGTTTCGGCGCGAGACGGCTTTCAAAGTTCAAGTCTGTTATTGCCTTAGACGCAGTGATTCTCTGTCAGCGCCATTCATACATTATTTATCTTTGTGTGTGTGTGTGTCTATTCTTTTCTGTTTTCAATGCATAATTCCAATCGGTAAACCATTGACTGTTACCACCCTCTATACCAAGTCTGCTGATGGAAACTTGGGGAAAAAGTTTTGAAATAGCGCCACTATTTATAAAACATTTCTCTTTTTTCTTCTTGGATAGACAGATGGAAACAATAGAAGAGAGGAGTAAGAGCTGAGAAGAGTAACAGAAAGAAAAGGAGTCAAATAGAGAGTGTGAATAGCCTGATTACAATGAGACTCAATAAGAGATATTGTGAATGCGAGAACGTGAAAATTAGTAAGAAGGAGTGTGAAAAAAGTATGAGACTGAAGATCTAATATATATATATTTTTTTAATTAACCTTTATTTAACCAGGTAAGCCAGTTGAGAACAAGTTCTCATTTACAACTGCGACCTGGCTAATGCCAAGGATTACACCCATGAAGTGCAAATAATGAGGCATATAGAAAGACAGTAGGAGGGAGAGAGAGAGAGAGAGAGAGAGAGAGAGAGAGAGAGAGAGAGAGAGAGAGAGAGAGAGAGAGAGAGAGAGAGAGAGAGAGAGAGAGAGAGAGAGAGAGAGAGAGAGAGAGAGAGAGAGAGCAAGGGACAAAGACAAAGAGAGAGGGAGAAAGAGAGAGAGAAAAAGAGAACCAGAGAGAGAGAGATAGAGGGAGAGAGCGAGAGAGAGACAGGTACAGAGACAGAGATAGGAAAGCCAGAAATAATGCCAGAAAGATATGAAGGGACTGCCAGAAAAGACAGAGACTGTTCTCTTACCGTGGTGGATGATGCCGTTCTCAAGCAAAGCTTGACCCAGGTTGACCCCCTCGTCTGGCTTGCTGATCTCTCCACTATCTATCAGCCATGACACAAACTCACTGTGGGGACACAGACAATAATATATATATAGTGAACACAAATATAAACGCAACATGTAAAGTTTTGGTCCCATGTTTCATGAGCTGAAATAAAAGATCCCAGAAATGTTCCATATGCACAAAAAGCTTATTTCTGGCCTCCCGAGTGGCGCAGCGGTCTAAGGCACTGCATCGCAGTGCTAGAGGCATCACTACAGACCTGGGTTCGATCCCGGGCTGTGTCGCAGCTGGCCGCGACCGGGAGACCCATGAGGCGGCGCACAGTTGTCCGGGTTAAGGGAGGGTTTGGCCAGCCGGGATGTCCTTGTCCCATCGCGCTATAGCGACTCCTTGTGGTAGGCTGGGCGCATACACGCTGACTTCGGACACCAGTTGTACGGTGTTTCCTCCGACACATTGGTGCGGCTGACTTCCGGGTTAAGCGAGCAGTGTGTCAAGAAGCAGTGCGGCTTGGCAGGGTCATGTTTCGGAGGAGGCATGGCTCTCGACCTTCGCCTCTCCCGAGTCCGTACTGGAGTTGCAGAAATGGGACAAGACTGTAACTACCAATTGGATTTCACGAAAAAGGGGTAAAAACTAAACAATTTTTATTTTTTACTTATTTTCTCTCTTCTTTTGTGCAGAAATTTCTCTACATCCCTGTTAATGAGCATTTCTCCTTTGCCAAGATAATCCATCCACCTGACAGGTGTGACATTTCAAGAAGTTGATTAAACAGCATGATCATTACACAGGTACACCTTTTTCTGAGGACAATAAAAGGCCACTCTAAAATGTGCAGTTTTGTCACACAACAATGCGACAGATGTCTCAAGTTTTGAGGGAGTGTGCAATTGGCATGCTGACTGCAGGAATGTCCAACAGAGCTGTTGCCAGAGAATTTAACATTAATTTCTCTACCATAAGCCGCCTTCAACGTCATTTTAGAGAATTTGGCAGTACATCCAACCAGCCTCACAACCGCAGACCACGTGTATGGTGTCGTGTGGGCGAGCGGTTTGCTGATGTCAACGTTGTGAACAGAGTGCCCCATGGTGGCGGTGCAGTTATGGTGCGGTCTGCCCAACGCATCACCGGGAGCACACTGCCTGCCCTCCAGGACACCTACAGCACCCAATGTCACAGGAAGGCCAAAAAGATCATCAAGGACATCAACCACCCGAGCCACGGCCTGTTCACCCCGCTACCATCCAGAAGGTGAGGTCAGTACAGGTGCATCAAAGCTGGGACTGAGAGACTGAAAAACAGATTTTATCTCAAGGCCATCAGACTGTTAAATAGCCATCACTAGCCGGCTACCACCCAGTTACTCGGCCCTGCACCTTAGAGGCTGCTGCCCCATGTACATAGACATGGAATCACTGGTCACTTTAATAATGGAACACTAGTGACTTTAATCATGTTTACATACTGCTTTCCTCATTTCATATGTATATACTGTATTCTATTCTACTGTATTTTAGTCATTGCCACTCCGACATTGCTCGTCCTAATATTTATATATTTCTTAATTCCATTCTTTTACTTTTAGATTTGTGTGTATTGTTGGGAATTGTTAGATACTACTGCACTGTTGGAGCTAGGAACACAAGCATTTCGCTACACCCGCAATAACATCTGCTAAATATATGTATGTGACCAATAAAATTTGATTTGATAAGCTACGGACAACGAACACAATTGCATTTTATCGATGGCAATTTGAATGCACAGAAATACCATGTCGAGATCCTGAGGCCCATTGTGAGGTCTTTTTTTTTTTTTAAAGGTATCTGTGACCAAAAGATGCATATCTGTATTCCCAGTCATGTGAAACCCATAGATTAGGGCCTAATAAATGTATTTCAATTGACTGATATGATTTCCTCATATGAACTGTAACTCAGTAAAATCTTTGAAATTGTTGCATGTTGCGTTAAAATTTTTGTTCAGTAATATAGATAGATAGAGAGATAGAGAGAGAGAGCATATGCCATTTAGAAGATTTTCCATCGAAAGTGAACACATACATTTTTAGTAAACAGTATGTGGCCCCAGCAGGAAACGAACTCACACCACACAGGTCTAATATCTTGGCATACTATTTTTTCAAATAAAAAACGTGACTTTAGTTATTGGTTAAAAAAGGCAACAACAAAAAAAGAAAAGCTTCATTTAGTTAATCTGTTCACCCAGTATTCTCACGAATAAAAAAAGACATGTGAGTGTGTCTCAATGTTGCCAAAATCCATCTCGCTCCATCTTCTCCCACTCCCGGCCGCTGGGCTTCCTCTCATTACCATATTTGGTGGAGAGTGGAAATGCCAACTGGATGCTTCAGATTTAAACATCCGGTGAAACATCTAGCTCATTGTTCTATCTGTGACGTAGCTATCAAAACAACGTCATTCGTCACTATGGGGACGATGGAATCTTACAACAATGGACCCCGTGCATATTGGGTAGCCACACAAGCTAGCTAGCATTTTAGCTTCCCACATCACCATGTGAAATAATCAGATTTATAATGAAATAATATGCCCTGGCAAATATTCTTATACTTGCCGGTGTAACCTACAACATTATCCCAATTGTATATGCTGTTTCAAAGTATTCACTCCCATATCAGATAAAAATAGAATGTCATCATGTTTTGGTCACAGAGAAAAAGCACATATCTCGCAGCTGTTTTTACCAATAGCCTGGAATCAACAGTTATTACTTTTAAACAAAATACATTTTGGGGGTGATTCTAATAAGGCTACAATGTTGTTTGGTTTACTGTTTGAGCATATGCTGAGATTATATTTATTTATCAATGCAAAATAGGTTACTTTGATGCATAGCCTATAGATCAGATCAAGGAACCAAGCGAGCTTCATTGCCTACACACAACTGCTACACTCCATTGCTACGCAAGGAATGATACGCATTACTACTTTCATGTGGCACGGGAATACATAGAATGTTGGAGCGCACTACAAGGATCGCACCCTTTGTGACAAAAAACGGCATTGTGCTACGCTCTGTAGGGTCCGTCTCTGTAGGGTAGCCCTTTAAAGTCATTTGTAACATAAGCTCTCCCAAAGTTACTTGTGCCTTTTCTCCCCTCCTTTTCACTCCTCTCTCTCTTCATCCCCTATCCCACATGTCCTACCCCTTTCTATCCTTCTGCTCCTTCTCCCTTGCTCCCCTTGTCCTCCCTCCCACCAGCCTTAAACCCCCTCTTTCTCTCTTTATCCATCTCTTTCATTACTCGCTCCAAGAAGTGCCAATTCATGGCTTGTGTGGCACCATTCATACAGAAGCTTTCTCACATAAATACACATTTTCTCTCCTCAAAGTGTGTTCTCCCTCTTCAGACACCAAGTGTTGGACAAATGTTTGGAGAGGAGAAAATTACACTTCCCCCTGCTCAATCTTCCACGCCACTGAGCAAAATCAATTCCCTGGAGAAAGATGAACAGTGAATGTGAGCATGTGTCTGATTGTGTGAATGTGTGTGTGAGTGAGCATTCCTGCGAAAGCAGGTTAAATGTGTGATTCCTATGTATGTGTCCATGCTAAATGTGTGTGTGTGCGTGCATGTGTGTGTGTGAGTGTGTGTGTGTATGTGGGTCGTCCACCAATTCAGTGCCTTTTGAGACGTTTAACTTGGTGAGAAAAAAAAACGTTTGATTTCACCCCCCAAAAAAATACATTGTCATAAAGAGCACATTATCAACTTAATAAAAAACGTTTTCCCATCAAGAGGTGAAATAAAATAAATGACTATAGTAAGTGCCTATTAAATGACAAATTAAGTAACAGGGTGGACCATAACAGGGTTGACGATTTCATCTTAAAAATCAGCCATGAATCCCCTTGTGACAGGGGAAATGGAAGCTTGTTGTGTGCAACAGCGAGGGGCATTTGAATGCAAGCTTCACAAAAAACATGTAATTGTTAAAACATGTATAGCTTGTCTATGGGTAACAGGGTTGCCATGTTATGATAGACCCACTCAGTTTTAGTTAAAACATTTCTAGCTTGTCTATGGGTAACAGGGTTGCCATGTTATGATAGACCCAATCAGTTTTAGTTAAAACATTTCTAGCTTGTCTATGGGTAACAGGGTTGCCATGTTATGATAGACCCACTCAGTTTTAGTTAAAACATTTCTAGCTTGTCTATGGGTAACAGGGTTGCCATGTTATGATAGACCCACTCAGTTTTCCCACCACAAAACACCAGAATATGGCCAAAAAGAGTAGAACCAGCTCACCTACTTTTCAACTATGATTGGACTATTAGATGTATACTGAAGAAAAATATAAACGCAAGATGCAACAATTTCAAAAATTTTCCTGAGTTACAGTTCATAGAAGGAAATCAGTCAATTGAAATAAATTCATTAGGCCCTAATCTATGGATTTCATGACTGGGTTAGCCATGGGTGGAGCCATGGGTGGGCACAGTGAGTTGCCCTTCATGCCTGCTCCCTTACCCTAGAATTCTGTATTTATTTGTGACTAATTTGTATACAGGTAGACCAGAAAAGCCACATCCCTGATTCGCAGATGAGTGGCAACCCTGATTAGAAGCACCTGCTGCTCATTTGTTGTTCTTTACAAATGCTGTTTTGAATTAAAATAAAATTGTACCTACACACTGAAGGCTGTAATGCCGAAATGTCTGTGTACGCTATCCCTGATGCAATGAAAATAATTAAAAACATTGGGAATAATGAAGTAAGCTTTATGCAACATCTTTTTGAGTGCGAACCCATTACACCTTTTTATTTGTCTGAATTCGTGGGTTTTACGCACCACCCAAGCTTCTGGAAGAGCGCGATGGTTCTTTTTTGAATAGGGCATAGACCCACCCACTTGGGAGCCAGGCCCACCCACTGGAGAGCCAGGCCCAGCCAATCGGAACGAGTTTTTCCCCACACTTTATTACAGACGGAAATACTCCTCAGCACCCCCCTCCTCAGACAAAGACGAATGTGGAGGTCCTGGGCTGGCGTGGTTACACATGGTCTGCAGTTGTGAGGCCGGTTGAATGTACTGCCAAATTCTCTAAAACGACGTTGGAGGCGGCTTATGGTAGAGAAATGAATATTAAATTATCTGGAAACAGTTCTGTTGGCCATTCCTGCGGTCAGCATGCCAATTACACTCTCTCAAAACTGGAGACATCTGTGGCATAGTGTTGTGTGACAATACCTTTTATTGATATGCCACACCTGTCAGGTGGATGGATTATCTAGGCAAAGCAGAAAGGCTCACTAACAGGGATGTAAACAAATGTGCACAACATTTGAGAGAAATAAGCTTTTTGTGCGTATGGAAAATTTCTGGGATCTTTTATTTCAGCTCATGAAACATGGGACCAAGACTTTACATATTGCGTTTATATTATTGTTCAGTATATCATGTTTCTTAAAAAAATAAAAAAATAAGGAATAGTTTCACCATGTTAAAATGAGAGTTCAGTTCACGTAACAGGGTTGACCTTAAATGAGGGAAAGTTATATATTTTTTACCTAAAACTGAATCACTAAATAATAATAATAATAATAATAATAAATAATCATCATCAGAAATCATCATCAGAAAAGACTGTCAAAGCAACAAAATAACAAGGGCTTCACAATGATGGTGAAAACATGGAGAAACAATGGGCTTAAATATGGGGTTAAGTCATGTGGAGGGACATGTCAAAATGCAGCATTTTGGCACTTAAGCAAGTCTTTATTGATATTACAAATCTGATTTATTGAATTCTCCATGTAGTCTATATTAAAAGGGCACAATATTGGTGCACAATTTCATGGGACGACCTAGGTGTTTGCTCGTGTGCTCTGCTGCGAAATCAGCCTAAACGTGTGATTCCTGTGCATTTATTTTCATAATAAATGTGTGTGTGTTCATGAGCATTCCTGCGAAAGCAGGCCAAATGTGTGATTTCTGTGTGTGTCAATGCCAAAATGTATGTATGCTTGTGTTCATGCAATGTGTGTGTGGTCTTGTTTTTCTGTCCTTCGGGGTTAGGTGTTAGGTTTAGGGTTACAATTCGGGTTATCAAATCAAAATCAACGTTCATTGGTCACGTACACAGATTTGCAGATGTTATCGCAGGTGCAGCGAAATGCTTGTGTTTCTAGCTTCAACAGTGCAGTAATACCCAGCAATAAAAAAATTTATAAAAATACACACATAATCAAGACAAATAAAAAAATAAGTTATATAGGATGAGCCATGACTTGAATACAGTATACACATATAAAGTGTGTGAAACAGTAAGTAAACATTATTAAAGTCACCATTATTCAATGACTATGTAGATAAGGCAGCAGTCTCTAAGGTTCAGGGCAGGGTACTGGGCGGAGGCCGGCTAGTGGTGACTGTTTAACAGTCTGATGGCCTGGAGATAGAAGCGGTTTCTCAGTCTCTCGGTCTCAGCTTTGATGCACCTGTACTGTCTCTGCCTTCTAGATGGTAGCGGGTGAACAGGCCATGCCTTGGATAGCTGAGGTCCTTGATGATCTTCTTGGCCTTCCTGTGACACCGGGTGCTGTAGATGTCCTGGAGGGCAGTGTGGCCCGGGTGATGCGTTGGGCTGACCGCACCACTCTCTGTGGTTGCAGACGGTGCAATTGCCGTACCAGGCGGTGATACAGCCCGACAGGATGCTTGTGAGGGTCTTAGGGGCCAAGACACATTTCTTCAGCCTCCTGAGGTTGAAGAGGCGCTGTTGCGCCTTCTTCACCACACTGTCTGTGTGAAGGGACCATTTCAGGTTGTGAGTGATGTGCATGCCGAGGAACTTGAAGCTTTTGTCCCTTTCTATTGCAGCCCAGTCGATGTGGGTGGGGGGCTCTCTCTGCTGTCTCTTGTAGTCCACAATCAGCTCCTTCATTTTTGTTGACATTGAGGGAGAGATTATTTTCTTTGCAACACTCTGCCAGCGCTCTCACCTCCTCCCTGTAGGCTGTCTCGTCGTTGTTGGTAATCAGGCCTACCACTGTTGTGTCATCAGCAAACTTGATATTTGAGTTGGAGACATGGCCATGCAGTCATGGGTGAACAGGGAGTATAGGAGGGGGCTGAACATGCACCCGTGTGGACCCCGTGTTGAGGATCAGTGTGGCGGAGGAGTTGTTGCCTACCTTCACCTCTTGGGTTTGGCCCGTCAGGAAGTCCAGGACCCAGTTGCACAGGGAGTGGTTCAGACCCAGGGCCCTGAGCTTAGTGATGAGCTTGGAGTGCACTATGGTGTTGAAGGCTGAGCTGTAGTCGAGGAACAGCATTCTTACATATGTATTTTTATTGTCCAGGTGGGAAAGGGCAGTGTAATGGTGATTGCGTCGTCAGTGGATCTGTTGGGGCGATATGCAAATTGTATTGGGTCTAGGGTGTCAGGTAAGGTGGAGGTGATATGGTCCTTAACTAGCCTCAAAGCACTTCATAATGACAGAAGTGAGTGCTACGGGGCTATAGTCATAGTCAGTTTCTTGGGTACAGGAATAAACAACAGACTGCGATATAGAGAGATTGAATATGTCCGTAAATGCTCCAGCTAGCTGGTCTACACATGCTCGGAGGACGCGGTTTGGGATGGCGCCTGGGCCGGCAGCCTTGCGAGGATTAGCATGTTTAAATGACTTGCTCACGTCAGCCACGGAGAACGAGCGCACACAGTCCTCATGAGTGTCGGGGGCCCACATCAGCAGCTCTACGTTGTTTTCCTCGAAGCGGGCCTAGGTATTTAGCTCGTCTGGGAGTGAGGTGTCTGCCTTTCCCTTTATAATCCGTGATTGTCTGAAGTCCCTGCCACATACGTCTCGTGTCTGAGTCATTGAATTGTGACTCCAGTTTGTCCCTGTACTGCTCTTTTCCTCTTGGATTGCCTTACGGATGTCGTAGCTGTTTTGTTTGTACACGTCCATGTTCCCAGTCACCTTGCCATGGTTAAATGTGGTGGTTCCCACTTTCAGTTTTGCGTGAATGCTGCCATCTATCCAGAGATTTTGGTTTGGATAAGTTCTAATCGTCACAGTGGGAACAACATCCTCTATGCACTTCCTGATGAACCCAGTCACAGAGTCAGTGTATACGTTGATACTATTCTCAGAGGCAACCCAGAACATTTCCAAGTCTGCGTGTTCAAAACAATCTTGAAGCATAGATTTTGATTGGTCAGACCAACGTTGAAATAGTCCTTACCACGGGAGCTTCCTGTTTAAGCTTCTGCCTATAGGTGGGGAGAAGTAGAATGGAGGCGTGATCTGATTTGCCAAAGGGAGGGCGGGGGAGGGCCTTGTAGCCATCCAGGAATGGACAGTAGCAATGATCCAGAGTAAGTGTTTCGCATGTAGCACAGGACATGTGTTGATAGAATTTCAGTAGAGTTTTCCTCAGAGTTCCTTTATTAAAGTCCCCAGCTACAATAAATGCGGCCTCAGGATATGTGTTTTCCAGTTTGCATGTAGTCCAGTGTAGTTCCTTGAGAGCCATCGCAGTGTCAGCTTCGGGGGGAATATACAGTGGGGGAAAAAAGTATTTAGTCAGCCACCAATTGTGCAAGTTCTCCCACTTAAAAAGATGAGAGAGGCCTGTAATTTTCATCATAGGTACACGTCAACTATGCCAGACAAAATGAGAAAAGAAATCCTGAAAATCACATTGTAGGATTTTTAATGAATTTATTTGCAAATTATGGTGGAAAATAAGTATTTGGTCAATAACAAAAGTTTCTCAATACTTTGTTATATACCCTTTGTTGGCAATGACACAGGTCAAACGTTTTCTGTAAGTCTTCACAAGGTTTTCACACACTGTTGCTGGTATTTTGGCCCATTCCTCCATGCAGATCTCCTCTAGAGCAGTGATGTTTTGGGGCTGTCGCTGGGCAACACAGACTTTCAACTCCCTCCAAAGATTTTCTATGGGGTTGAGATCTGGAGACTGGCTAGGCCACTCCAGGACCTTGAAATGCTTCTTACGAAGCCACTCCTTCGTTGCCCAGGCGGTGTGTTTGGGATCATTGTCATGCTGAAAGACCCAGCCACGTTTCATCTTCAATGCCCTTGCTGATGGAAGGAGGTTTTCACTCAAAATCTCACGATACATGGCCCCATTCATTCTTTCCTTTACACGGATCAGTCGTCCTGGTCCCTTTGCAGATAAACAGCCCCAAAGCATGATGTTTCCACCCCCATGCTTCACAGTAGGTATGGTGTTCTTTGGATGCAACTCAGCATTCTTTGTCCTCCAAACACGACGAGTTGAGTTTTTACCAAAAAGTTCTATTTTGGTTTCATCTGACCATATGACATTCTCCCAATTCTCTTCTGGATCATCCAAATGCACTCTAGCAAACTTCAGACGGGCCTGGACATGTACTGGCTTAAGCAGCGGGACACATCTAGCACTGCAGGATTTGAGTCTCTGGCGGCGTAGTGTGTTACTGATGGTAGGCTTTGTTACTTTGGTCCCAGCTCTCTGATGGTCATTCACTAGGTCCCCCCGTGTGGTTCTGGGATTTTTGCTCACCGTTCATGTGATCATTTTGACCCCACGGGGTGAGATCTTGCGTGGAGCCCCAGATCGAGGGAGATTATCAGTGGTCTTGTATGTCTTCCATTTCCTAATAATTGCTCCCACAGTTGATTTCTTCAAACCAAGCTGCTTACCTATTGCAGATTCAGTCTTCCCAGCCTGGTGCAGGTCTACAATTTTGTTTCTGGTGTCCTTTGACAGCTCTTTGGTCTTGGCCATAGTGGAGTTTGGAGTGTGACTGTTTGAGGTTGTGGACAGGTGTCTTTTATACTGATAACAAGTTCAAACAGGTGCCATTAATACAGGTAATGAGTGGAGGACAGAGGAGCCTCTTAAAGAAGAAGTGACAGGTCTGTGAGAGGCAGAAATCTTGCTTGTTTGTAGGTGACCAAATACTTATTTTCCACCATAATTTGCAAATAAATTCATTAAAAATCCTACAATGTAATTTTCTGGATTTCTTTTTCTCAATTTGTCTGTCATAGTTGACGTGTACCTATGATGAAAATTACAGGCCTCTCTCATCTTTTTAAGTGGGAGAACTTGCACAATTGGTGGCTGACTAAATACTTTTTGTCCCCACTGTACATGGCAATGACAATTAATAAAATTATCATCTCGGGAGGTAATGTGGCCGGCATTTGATGGTGAGATATTCCAGATCGGGAGAACAAAAGGGTTTGAGTTCCTATACGTTAACACAATCACACCATGAGTTGTTAATCATGAAACATACACCTCCGCCTTTCTTTTTCCTGGAGAGTTCTTTCTTCCTCTCTGCCCGATGAACGGAGAACCCCGCTGGCTGAATGGACAGGGACAATATATCCAGAGAGAGCCATGATTCCATAAAACAGAGTATGTTAGAGTTCCTGCTGTCTCTCTGGAAAGAGACCCTTGCCCTGAGCTTGTCTATTTTATTGTTCAGGGACTGAACATTAGCAAGTAATATACTCCGAAGCGGTGGATGGTATGCACGCTGCTTGAGTCTGACTAGGGCCTCACTCCTTCTACCTCCTTCTCCGGCGTCAACGTTTTGGTGCAGCCCCTGGGATGAACAGAGCTGCCTCGGAAAGTTCAAACAAAGGATCTAGGTCAGGGAAGTCAAATTTCTGCTTGAATTTCTGGTGAGTGACCGCCGATCTAATATCCCAAAGTTATTTCCGTCTGTAGGTAATAATACAAGAAACGTAAATAATAATAAGAAATAACACAAAAAAATACTACAATGTTGGCTAGGAGCTAGAAACAGGGCGACTGTCTGTCGGTGCCATATTGTGCTCCATCTAGGTTTAGTGGTTAAGGTTAGAGTTAAGGTTAGGGTTTAGGGAAAATAAGATGTTGAATGGAAATACATTTTAGGTCCCCACAAGGATAGAAAAACAAGTGTGAGTCTCTGTCTGTCTGTGTCGGTCTGTCTGTGTGTGTGTGTGTAAGCATGCTTGTGTGCCCTGCTGTGAAAGCAGAATAAAAGTGTGATTCCCGCGGGTTCACGTCAAATTGTGTGTGTGTGTGTGTTTGTGGGTATCACTGTGAAAGCAGTAAACGTGTGATCCCTGTTTCGTGTGTGTTCATGCTAGAACACAGACACCTTGAGCCATCTGCTCCCACCTGCGCGTCTGTCCAATGGGCATATTTTACCATAAATAAAAGAGTCACTCACGACCTACTGAATGGTGGTACTGCTTTTTTAGGTCAGTGGTGGTGGTGGTGGTGGTGGGGTGTGTGTGCAGGAGGTGGAGGTGATTGTCAGACAGATCTCTATAGTGCACCTCAAGTGTGTGTCTGTGTGTGTCTGTGTGTGTGTATGTGTGTGCGCGACTGCGTGTGTGTGTTTCAAAGAGACATGCTGCTGATTGACATTGGCAGAAGACTTAAGTGCATCTGGCCAGGTGGGGTGTTACATAAGAGTTCTGGTTAATTTTGACACTGGAGCGGTCACACCAAGGAGTAAATCACTGCTAATGATGAGAATACAGAGAGGCTGTTTGTGTGTGTGTGTGTGTGTGTGTGTGTGTGTGCACATGTCTGTATCTGAAGTTCTGCTAGCAAACTTAAGCTTCATTAATTCATTTTCTACAGCGTGCTACAATGATGTCATCCAAGTTAGCTATTTGAAATATTGTTATCAGTGAGTCAACAAGAGGCTTGCTTCCTCTTGAACAAGGGACCTGAGGTAAAAATGTCAAGTAGGTCCCCTTTCAAAATAGGGCACTGAGTGTACAAAACATTAAGGACACCTTCCTACTATTGAGTGCCCCCCCCCCCCCCCCCCCCCCCCCCTTTTGCCCTCAGTAGTGTCACATTAAGGACAACATCTTGCTCCTCAGCTTTATGGCTTAAATTTTAAATAAGCATGCATTTATTTTACCATTTAAAATATGTTCCATTATTTCTGATTGGGTGGACAAAATTATATTTAGGGTGGGCAATGCCCAATCCAGCACCCTCCTATAACCAGCCCTGGATGTGATTTCTGAACAGTGTGTGTGTTTTCCAATGCAGAGGAAAAGTTTAACTTTCCAGAGCGGCTGCAAAGGACACTAGCTAAACTGTTGAACTGTTTAGCACATTAAAAAAAAAACGCCAACCAGTTAGTTTCAAACAATCTGCCACATTTAGTCCTTTCTTCATTCCACCCCTGGTTTTTAGGGATTATGCTTACACATTCAGCGTAAAATAAATTGCATTGTTCAGGGAATGCGTGGCTGGAAAGTGAGGATAATTTAAAACAAGTAAGCCTGCTGTGATAGCCAATGAGTGTACAAAACATTAAGAACACCTTCCTAATTGAGTTGCATTAAACCTCGTCTTTGATATGATAGTAGTTACCCTCCGGGACAAAAACTTGACGTAACATAAAATCAACGTCCATATTTGGTTAATATTTAATTCAGTTGTCAACAAACGGGAATTCCTTTCATTGATTTGTGGTTGAAAACTGGTTAAAATGTATACTTTGACCACTTATTGTGTTTTCAACCAAAAATTCCATTGATGTCCAACGTCCATACATTTGGTTCAATGTACACTGCTCAAAAAAATAAAGGGAACACTTAAACAACACAATGTAACTCCAAGTCAATCACACTTCTGTGAAATCAAACTGTCCACTTAGGAAGCAACACTGATTGACAATACATTTCACATGCTGTTGTGCAAATGGAATAGACAACAGGTGGAAATTATAGGCAATTAGCAAGACACCCCCAATAAAGAAGTGGTTCTGCAGGTGGTGACCACAGACCACTTCTCAGTTCCTTTGCTTCCTGGCTGATGTTTTCACTTTTGAATGCTGGCGGTGCTTTCACTCTAGTGGTAGCATGAGACGGAGTCTACAACCCACACAAGTGGCTCAGGTAGTGCAGCTCATCCAGGATGGCACATCAATGCGAGCTGTGGCAAGAAGGTTTGCTGTGTCTGTCAGCGTAGTGTCCAGAGCATGGAGGCGCTACCAGGAGACAGGCCAGTACATCAGGAGACGTGGAGGAGGCCGTAGGAGGGCAACAACCCAGCAGCAGGACTGCTACCTCCGCCTTTGTGCAAGGAGGAGCAGGAGGAGCACTGCCAGAGCCCTGCAAAATGACCTCCAGCAGGCCACAAATGTGCATGTGTCTGCTCAAACGGTCAGAAACAGACTCCATGAGGGTGGTATGAGGGCCCGACGTCCACAGGTGGGGGTTGTGCTTACAGCCCAACACCGTGCAAGACGTTTGGCATTTGCCAGAGAACACCAAGATTGGCAAATTCGCCACTGGCGCCCTGTGCTCTTCACAGATGAAAGCAGGTTCACACTGAGCACATGTGACAGACGTGACAGAGTCTGGAGACACCTCATCAGGAGCATGCCCAGGCGTTGTAGGGAGGTCATACAGGCACGTGGAGGCCACACACACTACTGAGCCTCATTTTGACTTGTTTTAAGGACATTACATCAAAGTTGGATCAGCCTGTAGTGTGGTTTTCCACTTTAATTATGAGGGTGACTCCAAATCCAGACCTCCATGGGTTGATACATTTGATTTCCATTGATCATTTTTGTGTGATTTTGTTGTCAGCACATTCAACTATGTAAAGAAAAAAGTATTTAATACGATTATTTCATTCATTCAGATCTAGGATGTGTTGTTTAAGTGTTCCCTTTATTTTTTTGAGCAATGTATTTTTGCCCGGTTGGGATAGTGAACTTTAACCCTTTACTAAATCGGATACAGGAGCCTACACTACCTGTCAGTGTTATCTCAAATAATACTGAAAGCTGAAGACATAATGGCAACAGCCCCACCTATAATGCCCATCGAATCTTACCTCCCTGACATTTCATTGCAGGTTGCATTGTGTTTTACAGTTCTATAGAAACTCATTCAATATTTTCCTTGGATGCTGACTGACTCCATAATGTAAGCCCCAATGATCACCATCACCGTTTTACCCTCTTTTACCCCGAAAAATTGTGCCAAATAATAACGAATTTAAATTACTGCTTGGAATCTCGCAAAACACTGTGTGCGTGGAGCTGTGGGGCGTAATGGAAAATGCATTACTGCAGGCAAACTAGGCCCTCACTGTTCACTCATGGCATTGAAAGACTGGGGGGACAGGAAAAAAAGAGCTGCTTAGTCCAGTGGCTCGCTGTTAAAAGGTCTTTCTAATGATGCTCTAGCAGTTACAGGGAAGGTCTCTGTGTTGGTTGAGAACCATCGCCTCTGACAACAAAGTTCTTGGCTCCCAACATAGGATGGAAAACAACTCCTAGACATCTCACTCATCAGTTCTGGGGTTGGGAAACTGATTGTATTAGGAAGTGGTGTGTAGTGTGTGTGCGTGAATGCGTGCATTTGGTATGCTTAAGTGTGTGTTTGTGTATGTGCACGGGCACGTGTGCACATGGTTGAGGAAATGCCGGCAGACTCAGGAAGCGCCTGCTTGATGATACGGTGTGTAAGGGAAACAACTTAGGCCGCTCCAAATGCAGGGGTGATTACAGTAGGTATCATTATGGCAGGCCAGGAGAGATGTAATGATAGGGGCAGATTAGGCATTCTGCCAGGATTCAATTCCTCCTCTACTTCTCAGTGGCCGGTAATTATATGCAACAGAAATTAGTCAGTATGAGTTTGTGAATGTGATTAATGGTTCGTTGGAATGGATGGATAGAATGGATGGAGCCCTTCTCAACACAACATCCCTGTTGTGATCCACCTCCCTCAGATCTACAGTATGTAGGGACTTTAATGTAATTGTGAAACGATAAGTTATTATCAATGTATTTATAATATGATCACTATTAACAGCAGAAGTTTTGGTTCAGTGGAGTAATCCCACATTTTTCATGTATTTGTACCTTGAAGATGTCTTAAAAGTACCCTTGTTGACAGTTCGAAGGTCACCCCCTCGACTGAGCACCTATTGTTGTCATCCAACCACTGTACCATTTGAGATTTGAAGCTTAGCCTGCACAAAAGCAATGGACTGTTCAGTATGGAAGAACTCACTTTCCCATGAAGCACTTGGGAACGATGCTCAGCTTCCGGCGCCGGTCCTTGATCAGATGGCGGCTCTTGGTCATCATCATGTGGTAGAGCTTCTCGCCCTTCTCAGCGATCATCACGTAGGCATCCCGCTCCATCCCCAGCTTCAGACCTGCAACCAACAGAGAAACACTCAAGGGGTCAGACACCAAAGCATTTTGCATATGAAGTTCATTATCGAAAGCCTGAGTTGTTATAAACGGTTATTAGTATATTTCTAACCCAACAGTGAGTCTAGGAGTAAAGATAAACTGTGTGGTCCGAGAATGTGTGTGTGTGTGTGTGTGTGTGTGTGTGTGTGTGTGTGTGTGTGTGTGTGTGTGTGTGAGAGTGAGAGTGAGAGTGAGAGTGAGAGTGAGAGAGAGAGAGAGAGACTACAGATCATTCCTCTCACTGCCTAAGACATCATGCTGGTTCCGTTGTCTGGCACTCTGGCTGGCATGGGGGGGCAGCAGCAGCAGCAGCAGCTATTGTCTCACATTGCCAACAAAAACAAAAGAGGGCCCAACACCGAGCCCTGAGGGACACCACCATTTCCTCCAGTCAGCCCTCAGACATCTATGCGTTTCAGCCCCCGGGGGGGAAGAGGCTGTCACAGGGCTGTGAGAAGACACAATGGCCCTGCCTGTAGGGCCCCGTTGGGGTTTCTGACACGGTACAGGGGTAGGAGAGGAGTGGAGCATGGCGGCTCGTGTCTGCCGCCTCCAACGGAGGGAAAGCCAGAAGTTAGTCTGTCCAGGTCTAGAACAAAGTACTGTGTCGCCTGCTAATGTACTATGACGCCACTGAGTTCTTTATCTTTAGTGTAGAGCAGCAGTTATGTTTACCAAGCTGCAACACCCTTGAGTGAGAAATATGTTCAATTATGACAAATATGTGTAGACAATTCAAAACTACAGTCTGTTGATGTTGAGCCCTTTGAAGGTCCAGCATGCTCATACAGCTTCTAAACCATAACTCCACCATGGGGCTCTGAGCAGCTTAACTCCACTGTGGGGCTAACTGAACTTTGGAGCGCCACTGTGAGGCTCTCTGACTGGCTAAACTCCACTGTGGGGCTCAGTGAGCTGCTAAACTCCACTGTTGGGCTCTCTGAACTTTGGAGCTCCATCATCAGCCTCTCTGTCCTGCTAAACCGTGGGACTCAAGACAATTCCAACAAAATGTGCGGGGGTGCCAGAGCTTGGTGCCGCTGATGGAGGGGGGGGTTGGATTACACTTGACAGCAGCTGGAGTGGATTCAAACAAAGAGTCATTGAACAGACTGGGGTCTGGTCCTGGTGCAAGGGGCCCCCGGCCCTGGGCTGCTGGTCCAGCTGTCAGAGCCAGTCCAGAGGCCCCCTCTTCCCACTCTCACTGGCACAGGCAAACAGGCTAACATGTTAGCCCACTCATTTCCACTCAGCCTCTACGAAAACACTGCTAAGACGATACCAGCCCCATCCAGCTGGCAGGGCAAAAATAATGGATCTGTCTTGGGAGTATTTAAAAGGGGCCACAACCAAAATGTCCAACTGAAGCCAGTGCCATGGCAAAACAAGGGGACATTTAAAAGAGGTGTGCTGTGGGAAATTGGGATTCAACAATGGGTTAGGTATCAATAGTGAAACAGGGATGAAAGGGATGTACTCAGGATCTAATGGCCATGGTCAAGCCTTCCAGATGTGGGCAAGGCCGGGGGTACAGGGAGGGGGGTTAGGGTGTGAGGTGTGGTGTGGGGTTGGCTGCACTGTGACTGATCTGGCATCTGTTAGCCTCAGGTCAATTTCCGCCTGCCGTAACCCAATACCCAACATGGCCCTTGGTACTCTGCAAAGCTCCACTTCTTCCCTTTAGCCACAGGATCAGGTGACCGGTCGCACAAGTCCATGTGGAAGGCTCATTTGCTACATTTGAAATATTAAAGCTACAGTTGTTGTAAACAGCTAGAACACAGGTATGGTTGGATGTTCAAAACCCTCCGCTGTTTAAGTTTAATCCTTTCCATACATTTACAGCTTGGGGGGACAGCAGTTGTGATTTCTGCCTCCAATGCTATCAGGTGTCACCATGCCTACAGCCACAGAAGTCAGTAAAAGCCTTTCAAGCTTTATTGGCACGCCCCAATGCGCACACAAACACAAAGACAGGTGGCCAGTGCTGAACAGGTGTCCTTACTCCGCATGTGGAGACACTTTTGAAGTCAAAAGAGGGGGGGGGGGGAATGGAGGCAAAGTCATTAAACAAGACGAGTAAGAGTGCTCAGCTTACAATGACGTTTTGAACAAATAACCCATCTTCCTCAAAATACATGTTTTCAATGTGTAGTCAAACACTACTGCAAATAGCACATTTTAACTAGAAGGGGTATTTTAGTGCCATTATTTTTTAAAGAGGACAAAAATATCCTTTTATTCCAGTGACAGGATGTTTTGGGTGTGACTCGATTTGAACACACTATTAATTACACAGTTCATGAAACCTGCTCCCAAGCTGCCAATTCATGTCAAAGGTCTGCAATCGCTACACACCAAGTCGAGAAATGGCATCCAAAATGTGTTACAAGCCTCATTTTCATGCCACGGTATAGTTGGCTAGACAAAACAGAGAGAGAACGGAGCGGTCTCACAGACAGACAACAACCCGTGATGGGTACTGTGTTGCAATACTCTCTCGTGAGCTGCCGTTTCTGGCAAGCTGCTACTGCTTCTCTATTTCAGGCTCTTGCTGGGATCGAAGAATCTGTTTTTAGCGCATCTTGAGTTTGTTTGTAAATTAACTGTTGGATAGAGTGCGCTCTCTTCTTGGGGGTGTTGATTAGCAAACACGGGTCTCGTACTGCACCGTAAGAGGCGGCTGGCTCTTTCCTTTGAATGTTAAACTCCAGACTGTTCTTCTGCATTCATTTGGTAATAATTATGCCACGATCTTTATGTATTTATGAAACAAAAGCCAGAGAGAGAGTGACAATGGGCAGTAAGACATACCATAAGCATACCACAACCGTCCTAGTGATGCACAAATTCATTTGCATACATACTGCATGATCTCTCACAACAGAGGGAATCCATTTGTAACCTCTTGCAAAGCTAACCATTTATTCTGAACCTTCAATTGTGTTAGCTCACCACAGCATAGCGTTGTTGAGATACTGTATAAGTCTGAGGTCAGACAGTACAGCACAATCGGAAAACATGATAGCCTCACATTCTCAAGGGAGGGGGAGCAGGACTCCAAAAGCGAGGACATGCCCCTTTTTGTTATACTCACTCTCTCTCTGCTCTCGTTCCCTCAAGATGGCATCGAGCCACTTCTGCTTGTCCTCTGCGTTCTTGGCCATGCAGACGAACCACTTGTTCTTGGCCGTGTTGTGGATCTTCCAGCCGCTGGTCACCGTGTAGTTGTTGCTGTGGTAGTCGGCTGAAACGAGGTAAAAAACTATTAACGGACCATGGTACACACCCAACATGTGACCCCTCTTATAGAAATAATCTTATTACATTTAACCTCAATGCTATTGATGGACATTGATATTAATACTGTACTAGCTTTTCTTGGGGATAAAACATGCAGTGTTCATGAACTCGTCTTGACCTCAGTAGTAACTGGGAGGGTAATACAGCCCAGCCACACCACTCTCAAGCTTCACTTGTCTTTGAAATACCTCAAGAGCTCAAATATCCATCATACTGTAAGTACTGCTAATTAAAATAACAAACAATAACTAAGTAGTCAAATACATCTTTCCGCTGACTCGACAGTAAGGTCCGTCTCGCTTTCTCCCTCGCATTCCGTCTCCTTGTCTCCCTCTCTCTCTCTCGCTCTCCCTCTCCTCCATTCCAATTTTACCAGCTATTTGGCTCCAGGTGACTGTAATGCATAATGAATGGGCTGGGGTAATGGAAGTACATTAGTGTAATGTTAAAAGGTCATATAAATAGATGTGAAACCCCCTGGCCCCGAGGGATAGAGAGCGAGGGAGGGAGGGAGGGAGAGAGGGAGGGAGGGAGGGAGAGAGGGAGGGAGAGAGAGGGGAGCATAAAAAGGGCTAATCGTGTTTAGGTGTGTGTGTCAAACAATAGTGGATGTGGGAGGAGGGTCATGTTATTGCATTAATTTAAATTAGTGTGATGTGTGATGTATGCATTCACGCCAAAACACTGAGTCGCTCTTCGTGTGAACGGGAAACTTGCTGTCAGTGCATTTCAAGGTTGTAATCTTCAGTGGAAGAACACAGGCCCGTCAAGATACAAACTACAAATCTCATTCAAACGTCTTCACTCAATATTCTTATTACTCTAAACATATTACTTTAGGTTTTCACTCTAACCCTAAACTAGCACACCTGATTATAGTAATTAGCTGGTTGATAAACTGAATCAGGTTAGTTACAACTGGTGTTGGAGCGAAAACCTACAGGAGGGTAGCTCTCCAGGAACAGGGTTGGAGAGCCCTGCTTTAAATTGTCAACTGAACGGTTTAAAAGCGCAGATATTTCAAGGGTGATTCGTTGGGCTTCTACAATGCTACAAATCAACACATTAATACCCTTAGACACATAGAAGTTAAACTCGCAGTGTAAAGAGGGCACATGACCTTAGTCTCACTATCACTGGCCCTCCTGTAGCTCAGTTGGTAGAGCATGGCGCTTGCAACGCAAGGGTTGTGGGTTCGTTTCCCACGGGGGGCCAGTATGAAAAATGTATGCACTCACTAATTGTAAGTCGCTCTGGAAAAGAGCGTCTGCTAAATGACTAAAGTATTTAAAAAAAAAATGTAAAAATCAGGTTATAGGGTGTCTCTGAGAAACATACAGAGAGAGAGAACATAATATTTTTCTTTGTGGTTACCTCTGAACGTACAGTACCAGGCGATAGGCAGCAAACAGCCCGCGGAGCACAGAAAGGAGGCATGTGAGAGGAAAAAGTGTATTTCTACCCCTAAGGCCCTTTAGGTAGAGCTACAGCTACAAGAGAAAACAATCAGACCTGGGTTCAAATAGTTCTTGAAATCTTTCAAATACTTTGAACGTTTGCTTGAGCCTGCCCGGAATGCAAGATATGCGGGGTTGGCAGTTTTGGAACTATTTTATTGTTTCTATTCACCAGGTAAGCTCAATCAAGCAAAGCTAAAGTATTTGAAACATTTAAAATACTATTTTAACCCAGGTCTTGCAAAAACAGGCTAGTGTGCAATAAATCACCAGAGCAAAATGAGCAGAACAGTGTGGTAAGTTGGTAAGTTCCAGTTCATGCAGCAGCTATCCCAGAAGTTCAAAGGTGAGAAATGCAGGTTGTGCATCCTGTCTGAACCAATGTAAGACCTTATCACTGCGAGCAAGCACTCGTCAAATTCATATAACCACCCTATCTATCATTCAAAGTGTGAGAAACCTATACAAGATTTTATAGCTGCACCCAAACTGTAAGCACTCATCAGATTTGTATCACCTATTCTATCAGTGAATTCGTTATCTTGTTTTTTGTGGGAAAATAGAGTTCAAATGAAACAAATACTCTTTGTTTGTATGAAGCCTAAGTAACACTGTAGCATAGAAAGAATGGGTTTGTGTAATTAGTTTATGATTTTACATCAGCCAGACCTGTAGTGAGTTAATCCCAAATAAATAGAAAGAAAAATATCAACTGATGGAAGATAAATGTGATAAATGGCTAAACAGACATATGGATGAATGAATAGAGCAATGGATGGATGATTGAATGAATGAATAAATGGAGGGGTGAAGAGGGATGATGTTCCTACAGTGTAGTGAAAAAGTATTTGCGCTCTTTCTGATTTTCTCTATTTTTGCATATTTTTAATACTGAATGTAATCAGATCAAGGGAACCTGAGTTTACAAAGACGACATGGTCCCATTATACCTGGCTAAAACCAAACACTGCATTCCACAGTAAGAAGCTTACACCAACGGTCAAGCATGGTGGTGGTAGTGTGATGGTTTGGGGTTGCTTTGCTGCCTCAGGACCTGGACGACAGAAAGGGGGCAAATACTTTTTCACAGCACTGTACAGTATATGAACTGAAGACTGGTGGGACTGGTACAAACCTGTTCCGTCCTCAACGTTTTCCACCTCCATCACCTCTGTGTTGATTCTTCCTCGGAACAGGTACAGGGGACCGTTGATGGACTTGGTCCTCTTGGTGGACTTCTTCCCAGAAACCCTAGGAAATTGAACAGAAAATGGCAAAAATGAGTTTTTCTCTGCAGAGAAAAATGCAATTTGTTGCCAACTTAAAAATATATATATATAATAACTTCACAGTCCTGAAGCACACACACACAACGTTAGGTGGACTTGATTTGTTTGTATCTAAAATGAGCTTGGTACACACTACACAAACAGGATTTGGGAATTCACTCAATTTTTCCACGTCTGGCTTCTTTCTGCCACTGGACTTCTCATCACTGAATGAAAAAGCTTGTTGTGCTCATTCCCACCACTTTCACGAGGTACTTGCATCCCCACCTCCCTCCCTCTCTCTCTCTCCCTCTCCCTTCCATCCCTCCCTCCCTCCCTCCCTCCCTCCCCTCAGTCACCCCCCCACAACCTCCCACTCGCCCTCCCTCCCTCTTGCTTTCCCTCCCCCATCCCCACGTCTCCTCCCTCCCTCGTTCTCACCTAGATTTCCTCTTGCAGTAGACCAAGAGGTTGTCGAACAGGAAGAAGACTCTCTCCTGGATGTTGCCAGCAGAGATCTTGAGCAGGTTACCGTGGAGCAGCAGCTCGGTGCAGATGTCAGTCAGATTGGTGCCCTGGGGACAGACAGTCAAGAGAGAACGGCAATTAACCACTGGTGCCTGTCGTCATCTCTCAACTAGACGTGTGTGTGTGTGTGTGTGTGTGTGTGGGGGGGGGGGGGTTCTGTGGGTGTGTGGGGTTCTAGGTGTGTTTTTGTGTGTGTGTGTACGTGTGTCTATAACAATGATTATCTTTCAAACAACATGTGTTTACGTTCAGAGTGCACAACCCCAGTCGAACAATACAAAATGCAGCTGTGAGAATTCACACATCGGATGACATTGGATTAGGTTCAAACTATTTGTTTCCATTTCATTGTGCTAATAGGATGGAATGAACAACAGACGACACCCTCACTCCTACTGTTATACAACAGAACAATAGTGTATACAACAGTCCTTCCCTGAACTTTGCCAATGGCCCTTAACACAAGACAAAAGTCAGCTGTGCACTGTTCTTCAGCCCACAGTGGTTGGACAAGTTGCCAACTGGCCCCCGAACTGAACTGAACTGGAGGAAACTAGTCTAAAATGGGGAGGAAACAAGATTTTGTTTAAATAGTGCCAGCTCTGGGTCCCGAAGGGACATCTGGTCAGGCTTAGACAAAGCCTACTTATTTTACCCCTGCAAGCCACATACCACTCTGGGTGAGCTGAGATGTAACATGTGAAGTATTCCAACTATTTCCCAACGTTTCCCTGATATGTAATGTCATGGCAGTGTTGGGACTACAGGTGTAAAGCCACTGTTATGACAGTTTTGTGGCAGGGTACTTAATGTGAAGTGTTACTCAAATCTCTATAGTAAAACGTGAGTTAAAGGTGCACTCTGTGGCCTCTTTAGCCATGGGATGAAAACCACAGATTCTTAAACAAAACGCATGTAGTCGCATACATGCGCATGCACACAAACACTGTTCCTTTTAGACATACGATCTGACACAAGTTCTTAATTGCGAGATTCAACTCGTTTCATAATGAATTGGGTTTTCGTTTTACCCTATTCGGGGTACATATTGCTGTCTCTCTGGCTTTTGAAGCTGGTTGACGTCATCAAGTATGCATGGACACCAAACTGTATGAGAGCCAATTAACCTTTTCACGATACTAGGCCACGACTTACGGTAAATTAGTCACTATTTAGTCATTAGATTAAGTAATTTTAAATAAGTATTTTCAGGGTTTTACACTAGCCCATTGTAAACAAGAAAGCTAAAGGGATTCTTAAAGGTTGACTTATGGGATTCTAGCTGTGACGTTAATTATGTATGGGGGTGTTTCAGAAATGGCACCATTACGTATATAGTGCAATACTTTTGACCAGAGACATATGGGACCTCCCCTTTGGCATCTGAGCAAAGGTAGTGCACTATATAGGGAATAGGGTGCCATTTCAGACAGGAAATCAATCAAACCTACACCGATGCAATTAACCACACACGTACACATTTTGGATTGCCTTGTAACATAATGATTCGTAATAAGGTGCATGTGCATGGATGCATTCATGCCATACATGTAGCCATAACAAAACAAAGCATCATTGTTCAATGGAATGCACCAATCTAAAATCAACCAGAACTAAGCGTGCCCATGTGTGGACTCTGGATCTCCTGCCCCACCCCCATTTTTGGTACAGAGACACCAACCCCCCTTTATGGTTGGACTTTACCAAATTTAACGGTCTCTTTGATGTCATTGAGAGCATGCCACCGTAGCCGCCCAAAACCAGACCCCCACCCTCACAACCATCCATAATTGATTCCTCTGGGCACTACATTTCTGACAGACGCGCGTAGCTCCCCCAAAAAAACAGGATTATCCGCACTCCTGTAGATCACGTGCATTCCAACCAGCCTAGCAGACGGTTTTACGATCGATCAAATTCCATGTTTAAACGTGCAGGAAGGCGGGTGGGGGATGGAGGGATGGAGGGATGGATGGAGGATGGCTGAGGGATGGATGGTGGAAGCAGGAGAGCTGTCTGTCTATCAGAGCAATGCTAATGTGTCTGGGTCCTGATTCTGCACTACTACCTCCCTATTAGGAGTGGAGAGGTGATTACACTGGAGAGTGGAGGAGTGGAGAGGTGATTACACTGGAGAGTGGAGGAGTGGAGATAACGGGCTAAAGCTAGAGTGCTTTAAAGGGAGGGAAGAAGGTAGGAAGAGGGGGTAGTGCCTTTCATGAGGATGAACTGTGATACGGAGCAAGTAGACAGAGGCTCTATGTCCCAATACTCGTTCACTCTCAGACATGTTTTGACCTCTAGGGGTCAATGCAAAGTGAATCAGAGAACCAATCCCAAAAACGGATGTACAACTGCCCCCACGTTAGTGGCTAGAATCAAATGAGAGTTATTGAACGAAAATGCCAATAATAAAGTCTGATTGATCTGTGGAGGAAACTGCGACGACATGGTGTAATTTCTATCTCCACATCGTTTATCCTTGTTAAACACACAACAGCCTCTTGTTTTGTCACATTTTTGACGGAGGACAATCGCGGGGGTGAAACGGTGGCATATTTCATCAGAGTGAGGCAAATCTTGGCAGGCTTTGAGTGTGTGTGTGTGTGTATGTGTAGGATGCCATTGTGAGGTTCTCTCTTTTTTCCTCAAAGGGCCCCGTGTGAGACTAGGCCCTGCCTCTTTGGGCTCTGCCGATTGGGCAGGGTGCCCTTTGACCTTCCCTTGGCTCCTGAGCGGACGGATTGTCCTCTCCGGGGCCCAGAGGACGAGAGGAGAGTCAGGGGACAAGGGCTCTGTTGTGGAGGGTGAAGGAGGCGTGAAAAACGCACTGGGCACTCCGCTCCGCTCCCAAGCCCTGTCCGTGCCCTGTGCATGCTGGTAATCTGGGGGAAGCTGGAGGAGCGTTTTACTGTCACAGAAAATGAAGTGGTGCTTAGCATTTGGTGGACTCTCGAAAACTGGCCTAAGCTTTTTCGCCACAGCCATGACTGAGTGGGTATAGGGGTCAATGAGGACGACAGTGTGTGTGTGTGTGTGTGTGTGTGTGTGTGAAAACTCGGAGCTTCCCTTTTCCATCTCTTTCCTGTCATTCGAACCATTTCTATATAAAGGAGAACCGTTCCGTTCTCTCTCACTCTCTCTCCATCTAACTATCCTCTTTATCTTACCTCTCCTCTCTCAATCTTTCTTCTCACCTCCCACCCCTCTCCATCCTCTCATCTTTATCGCACACTTCTCTTATCTTTCTAGCACCCCCTCCCTCCCTCCCTCCCTCCCTCCTCTCTCTCTGACCCCCCACCCTTCTGTCTCGCCTCTCTTCTTTATCGCACACGTCACTCCCCTCTTTTCACCTTTTAGTACTCTTCCCCGCCTCCATCTCCCCCCTCCCCCCTCTCTCCCATTCCCTCCTCTCCCCCTCTCTCTCCCTCCCTCAATGGTGACCTATAGGGTGCATCCTAGACATGGTCCAGAGTAGAATAGAATAGAATCCCTCACCTCCCAGCCCTCGATGTGTGACTGCAGCTGCTCCAGGGCCTCCAGTTTCTCCATCTGCCTCTTGGTCTCGTTGATGTTGGAGCACACTGCCTTCATGGCCTGCAGTGCCTCCTCCACCGCAGGGTAGTCCGCGTGCTTCTTGGGCGTCCGCTTCAACAGCTCCTAGTGCGGTTAGAGACAGGAGGAAGAGGCGAATAGAGTGGTCACTTGGTCAGGTCATTAATGGGTTAAAGCCAAATAGTCAAGATGTCTTCATTAGAACTACAGCATATAAACAGCCATTAATACTGTTACAGAGAACAGCCCTGGTGCGCTGGATGATAAGCACCATTCTCATTATTAGGAATCATCTCATCAATATTCTGCAAAGAGTCAATGGTGGATAGAGTTGCATGTAGAGGTGGAGAGGTCAGGTAAGATTGTGGGATGATGGATGCACAGAGTTTTGGGCAAATGTTAGGATGGAGGGGGAGCGTGGAGGTCGGACATAGGATGGAGAAGAGCGGGGGATGAAGTGGTGGGACAGAGGGTGCGGATCGAAGTTGCGGAGAAGTTGGAAAAAGGGGAGAAATTGGACGAGGGGTGGAGAATGAAGATCATACATGATAGGAGTGGCTCAGACAAGGTTGGAATGTTTGTGTTTATGTTCGTGTGTCATCCATACCTTCAGTAGAAGGGGGTACTTGCAGATCCTCTGAATGGGCGATAGCAGGTACCCCTCCAGGGGAATGTCTGTGCTCTTCTTTCCTCCCAACAGCATACAGTGCTGGAACACAGACAACACACAGATGTTAACAAAACGGTAATTTATCAAACAGGGGCATCTATGGCCTATGACCCATCCTAAATCTTCTTTGTGATTCTTCTAGAAATGTAAGTTGGTAACTCCACTAAAATGATTATGTGAAGTGGTTTAGGGCAAGAAGCTAAATCCAAAACACCACAGCAAGTCTTCGCAGTTGTATTAATGACCTCCATGGGGATCGGGTGGCAAACTGTAACTAAAGTAATGCTTTGAGAAATGTATGTTTGGTGGTGAAACCCTTCTGAGGAGGATTCTTCAGATGTGAGAGAGTGAGTGAGTGAGAGAGAGAGCGAGACAAAGCTGGTGGGTTCTCTTCTATGTGCTTTATTTTCTAGGAACCAGGTCTGTCAAATGCTAAGTCCCAGAGGGCAAGAATGAGCAGCGTTCACCACCAGATCAAAGGCCAAACTAGATACGCCGCACGAAAATACTTTGGTGAAGAAAACAGAAAGCACATCATTGGTCGGTATAGTGCACATATTTCATTTTAATCACATTCCACCACTTTCAAGTTCATAAGGCACTCTGAGGAGAAACAGCAGTGTCGTGCTCATGCAGTCTTTGGTTGAAGCTAACGCTTAGGGGTGCGGGGAGGAGAGGAGCGCAAAAACTGCTCTCAAAAACTTGACTGCAGAATTCTGAGATTCCACAGATTCCAGCCAGTTTGGCAATCCTGATGCAATCCCCCTCTCCTCTCTCTCCAGTCTTCTAATATGAACATTATTTCCATCTGCGTGCCTGCAGCCAAACTCCCTCCGAGAGCTTCTCTTTGACCTCCTTTCAGTATACTTTCAATTGACTCCTCTCAGCTTTACAGCTTTGTTTTGATGTCCTTGTAGAGACGGCGTACATATTCAGTGCTTGTCAATTAACATGGAAATATTAGCTCAAATACCGCAAAAACATGGAAATGGAACAGAATTCAAGAGAGGAAACAACAGATGCGCCAATGGCTCTTCATGCCGCACCAACCTCAAATATCATTATAATACTAATAACGATTTGCATTTATAATCGTGACTAATTAATGCAAAGCCTACATCCAAATGTGATTACTCATTAAGCCTCCAGGCTCCCTGCGATTACAGAAGGCATTGTCTCCACGCCACAGAGTTCATCGACTGACTACACCTCAATTCCCTCACTCCACCACTTCCACAAAAAGCACAGTGGACTACCATGCATTTTGGGTTGAAACCAGCCTAGAGCTTAAACCTGTGGAGCTCAGACTTGTAGCTTAAAGGGTTAGTCCACTAAAAGTTTAAATGTATGGGGCGAATCCTAACATCCACTTATGTAAAATGTATCTTAGTCTCCCATTGATATCAACGCATGACTAAGTTTAAGACAAACATTTGACTTGTGAAAGTTAGATTTACCCCCATGTGATTTTCCACTAGCAGCCTGGGATATAATGTACAGAACACAACTAGAACAAGTTCAGGTCAGTCAATAATGAGACGGAGGAAACACATCGGTGTCAACAAGGCTCAGATCTTCCAGCCAGCCGTGCCAATGTACTGCAGCTGGCCAGCTCACACCGAGCATGACATCATTTTTGGAAGCGCAGTCAAAGGCAGTTCCTGTGTTCATTGTTGAGGGGCAAGAAGGGTTGTCAAAACAAGGAAACAGCTGGACTTCTGGTGACAAAACAACCTTGACACACTCTGTGGTTACATCGTGAGTTTGCCAGAGTAACCAAGCAATCTCATTCTAATACCTGTTATTTTTATAATGAACATAAACATGTAAACAGAAGAAGAGGTGACATTATGAAGAGGATAGAGAGAGAGATGGTGATTGGGACAGAGGTGGAAAAGGAAGAGAGGGAAGAAAATGGAGGAGGAGGAAAAAGATGTGACGCAGGGGAAGAGGATCAGGGAGAAGAGGATCAGGGAGAAAAGTAAAGGAGTGGGAGGAAGAGGTGGAAAAGAAGAGGAATAGAACAGGTGGAAGAGGAATAAAACAGGAGGAAGAATAGATAGAGGAAGAGAAGATTGAAGAAAAAGAGAGCGAACGAGATATGTAAAAAGACAGGGACAGTTGGTGTCAGCGGTGGGATCCTCACCAGGAGGAATGTCCTGATTTCGGGGATCTTGTTGAGCTCCATCAGCAGCCGCAGGGCTTTCTCGTGGTTACTGCAGTACTCCCCATACACCGAGAACCGCCCCTTCTGAAAGATGGAAGAAACACAAGTCAGTCAGAACCTGATCTTATCCAAATATAAAAACTTGGCATTGAATATTCTGGAACAGAATTGTTTCCAACAACTTTTAGTCAAACACAGATCTCTAGTGATAATGTCACAACATCAGTTGAATTGAAGTATAACTCCTATACACATAATTCCTCGAGGTAAAAAAAACAAACAATTAAGATTACAATTCTGATGTTCTTTCCTTATTTGGGTAAATACTGCACTGAGAAAGCACTCTGAAATTCCTCTATTCCCACTGGCACAGTTATTGCTAGGGGATATACTGTACTGTCCTATAGGTTTGGCCACCGAAGGCTTTCCTCATGATCACTTAGTAATATGATAGCTATACACATAGGTTCAATGCATTATTTATCCACCATTAGGGACAACATATAGGCCTAGGCAATCTCTTCCTCAGAATTTAATTTAAGCCAGCCCAAAACCCCATTTGGCCTTCAAGTGTATACTAGCCATTAGGAAGTGAAACCAGCTTCAGTGTAGGGCCTCCTCACTCTGCTATGGTTGGTAACCAAAACTCTGCTGCGGTCACCCGAAACAGTGCAGGAAGTGAAATCCTAGCTCGTACGTGCGATGCTAGCATATCCCCACAACCTTCAGAGAAACACTACACTCTCTCTCTCTCTGAAAAGCTGGACGTGTGCATTTAAGGTAGCGACTTAACAGGCAGATCAATATAGAGGCACTCAGTCACTCCATTGAAGCTGTTTGAAGTTGTTAAGTTTGTTTTTGTTTGCCATTTGAATATTGAGCATGAGGTAAGAATGCTGCGTAGCATTTCTATCAGGCATCCAATGTTAAATACATGAGGTAATTGTGAAAACTCTGATGGGGCCAAGCACTGTAAAAAGGTTCACATAGTAACAATCTCTACCAGGTTCTCCATTGGTCTCAGTGTCTCCCTCTCCATTTCCCTCTCGTTCTCTCTCGCTCTCTCTATCCATTCTAAATGTTGACTCTCACAGCTCTTTGGAAACACAGTATATCAAAGTCAACCTCAAGAGGCCATGCTGCTACAGACTAGTCTAGCCTTCCATCCTCTACCTCCTCTCATGCCTGTGTCAGGTCCGCATGGCAACGCAGAAAGAAGAGATAACTAATCTGGCTTTTATGTAACATTAGGTTCAGCTTCTCTCCGGTTCCCATGACGAGGATAGATTAAATGTGTGTCACCGTGTTTTGCGGCCGTAAACGGCGAAGCAACAGAGGGATAGCGTAGCCCAGGGCTCTGCTGTCCCACACAGACAGACAGACACACACAGAGCTGCTGGCTGGCAGGGCAACAAAGTCCGAGACATCACCGGGAGCAACAGCTGGCCCAGCATATGGTGTGAAACACCAAATCCTGTCAAATTAAAAAATCACGAAGCTAATAAGAGGAGTAGCCTAACGAACAGCAAAATCACTAGCCTATGTCAATCTACTATACCCCATAGTAGAAAAGTTGACCTATTCTATTGGTCAGTTTGTCAAGAAAGAAATAGCCTCTGGGACAGTTGTGGGAAGATAAGAACCCACATTCATACAACTAGGCTAAATGAAAAAATAAGTTAAAAAGCAAGGAGTCTGATGCAACAGATCAGAACATTTGGCTTAAAATGTTGATAAACGATTATTTCTTCACATTATAAGCTCAGCAATGCGTACAAAGCAGTAGGCTAGGCGCGAATGTTCGTTCCATAATGCAATTAGCGGGAAAACACTGTTATCAAAAGGGAGTGAGATGAAAATAAATATCCGTTACTAATTAAGAAAGTGTAGAGATCTAATATGGAATATATATATATATATATATATATATATATATATATATCTATATATATATATATATATATATATATATATATATATATATATATATATATATATATATAGTACCAGTCAAAAGTTTGGACACACCTACTCATTCAAGGGTTTTTCTTTATTTTTACTATTTTTTACATTGTAGAATAATAGTAAAGACATCATAACTATGAAATAACACATATGGAATCATGTAGTAACCAAAAGTGTTAAAAATATCAAAATATACAGTGGGGAAAAAAAGTATTTAGTCAGCCACCAATTGTGTAAGTTCTCCCACTTAAAAAGATGAGAGAGGCCTGTAATTTTCATCATAGTTACACGTCAACTATGACAGACAAAATTAGATTTTTTTTTCCAGAAAATCACATTGTAGGATTTTTTATGAATTTATTTGCAAATTATGGTGGAAAATAAGTATTTGGTCAATAACAAAAGTTTCTCAATACTTTGTTATATACCCTTTGTTGGCAATGACACAGGTCAAACGTTTTCTGTAAGTCTTCACAAGGTTTTCACACACTGTTGCTGGTATTTTGGCCCATTCCTCCATGCAGATCTCCTCTAGAGCAGTGATGTTTTGGGGCTGTCGCTGGGCAACACGGACTTTTAACTCCCTCCAAAGATTTTCTATGGGGTTGAGATCTGGAGACTGGCTAGGCCACTCCAGGACCTTGAAATGCTTCTTACGAAGCCACTCCTTCGTTGCCCGGGCGGTGTGTTTGGGATCATTGTCATGCTGAAAGACCCAGCCACGTTTCATCTTCAATGCCCTTGCTGATGGAAGGAGGTTTTCACTCAAAATCTCACGATACATGGCCCCATTCATTCTTTCCTTTACACGGATCAGTCATCCTGGTCCCTTTGCAGAAAAACAGCCCCAAAGCATGATGTTTCCACCCCCATGCTTCACAGTAGGTATGGTGTTCTTTGGATGCAACTCAGCATTCTTTGTCCTCCAAACACGACGAGTTGAGTTTTTACCAAAAAGTAAGCAGGGGGACACGTCTGGCACTGCAGGATTTGAGTCCCTGGCGGCGTAGTGGGAGACCCATGGGGCGGCGCACAATTGGCCCAGCGTCGTCCAGGGTAGGGGAGGGAATGGCCGGCAGGGGATGTAGCTCAGTTGGTAGAGCATGGCGTTTGCAACGCCAGGGTTGTGGGTTCGATAAAATAATGTATGTGCTAACTGTAAGTCGCTCTGGATAAGAGCGTCTGCTAAATGACTAAAATGTAATGTAAATGTGTGTTACTGATGGTAGGCTTTGTTACTTTGGTCCCAGCTCTCTGCAGGTCATTCACCGTGTGGTTCTGGGATTTTTGCTCACCGTTCTTGTGATCATTTTGACCCCACGGGGTGAGATCTTGCGTGGAGCCCCAGATCGAGGGAGATTATCAGTGGTCTTGTATGTCTTCCATTTCCTAATAATTGCTCCCGCAGTTGATTTCTTCAAACCAAGCTGCTTACCTATTGCAGATTCAGTCTTCCCAGCCTGGTGCAGGTCTACAATTTTGTTTCTGGTGTCCTTTGACAGCTCTTTGGTCTTGGCCATAGTGGAGTTTGGAGTGTGACTGTTTGAGGTTGTGGACAGGTGTCTTTTATACTGATAACAAGTTCAAACAGGTGCCATTAATACAGGTAACGAGTGGAGGACAGAGGAGCCTCTTAAAGAAGAAGTTACAGGTCTGTGAGAGCCAGAAATCTTGCTTGTTTGTAGGTGCCCAAATACTTATTTTCCACCATAATTGGCAAATAAATTCATTAAAAATCCTACAAAGTGATTTTCTGGATTTTTTTTCTCAATTTGTCTGTCATAGTTGACGTGTACCTATGATGAAAATTACTGGCCTCTCTCATCTTTTTAAGTGGGAGAACTTGCACAATTGGTGGCTTACTAAATACTTTTTTCCCCCACTGTATATATGTATATATATATACACACACACACACACACACACACACATATATATATATATATATGCAAGAAAGAAAAAAGAAAAAAAACATATGGGGGATTGGAAGTGATGCAGACAATTACATTGATGGAAGTTACAATCTATCTGCAATATTAAAGCTGATCTACCCCATAAAGACAAAGCAAAAACGTTTTTTTTGAAATTGTTGCTAATTTATAAAAACAATATCACATTTACATAAGTATTCAGACACTTTACTCAGTACTTTGTTGAAGCACCTTTGGCAGCGATTACAGCATCGAGTCTTCTTGGGTATGACACCACAAGCTTGGCACACCTGTATTTGGGGAGTTTCTCCCATTTTTCTCTGCAGATTCTTCCAAGCTCCGTCAGGTTGGATGGGGAGCGTTGCTGCACAGCTATTTTCAGGTCTCTCCAGAGATGTTCGATCGGATTCAAGTCCGGGCTGTGGCTGGGCCATTCAGAGACTTGTCCCGATGCCACGCCTGCGTTGTCTTGGCTGTGTGCTTAGGGTCGTTGTCCTGTTGGAAGGTGCACCTTCACCCCAGTCTGAGGTCCTGAGTGCTCTGGAGCAGGTTTTCATCAAGGATCTCTCTGTACTTTGCTCTGTTAATCTTTCCCTCGATCCTGACTAGTCTCTGAAACAGCATGATGCTGCCACCACCATGCTTCACTGTAGGGATGGTGCCAGGTTTCCTCCAGATGTGACGCATGACATTCAGGTCAAAGAGTTCAATCTTGGTTTCATCAGACAAGAGAATCTTGTTTCTCATGGTCTGAGGATCTTTAGGTGCCTCCAAGCAGGCTGTCATGTGCCTTTTACTGAGGAGTGGCTTCCGTCTGGCCACTCTACCATAAAGGCCTGATTGGTGGAGTGCTGCAGAGATGGTTGTCCTTCTGGAAGGTTCTCCCACCTCCACGGAGGAACTCTAGAGCTCTGTCAGAGTGACAATCAGGTTCTTGGTCACCTCCCTGACCAAGGCCCTTCTCCCCCGATTGCTCAGTTTGGCTGGGCGGCCAGCTCTAGGAAGAGTCTGGGTGGTTCCAAACTTCTTCCATTTAAGAATGATGGAGGCCACTATGTTCTTGGGGACCGTCAATGCTGCAGACATTTTTTGGTACCCTTCCCCTGATCTGTGCCTCGACACAATCCTGTCTCGGAGCTCTACGGACAATTCCTTCGACCTCATGGCTTGGTTTTGCTCTGACATGGACTGTCAACTGTGGGACCTTACATAGACAGTTGTGTGCCTTTCCAAATCATGTCCAATCAATTGAATTTACCAAAGGTGGACTCCAATCAAGTTGTAGAAACATCTCAAGGATGATCAATGGAAACAGGATGCACCTGAGCTCAATTTCGAGTCTCATAGCAAAGGGTTTGAATACTTATGTAAATAAGGTATTTCTGTTTTTGGTTTTTTATAAATTTGCACAAATCTGTTTTCGCTTTGTCATTATGGGTTATTGTATAGATTGCTGAGGATTTTTTATTTATTTAAGGCTATAACGTAACAAAATGTGGAAAAAGTCAAGGGGTCTGAGTACTTTCCGAAGGCACTGTATATATATTCCACACCATGAGGTTGGAATAATACTGTGAAAATGATGATTATGCCCTTTTAGTGTAAGAGCCTTTTGAAAAGGCTGTTTTGGTGGAATTAAGTTTTGGCATGCCTGGTGACATCACCACTTAATTGTTACCCAGAAATGATTTGATATTGAGATGAATACAGCAGCATTGGACCTTTAAGGACTTCTAAAAGTGAACATTCATCTATCCATCTATAAGCTTACCTTATCTGTATTTCTTTAAGGCCCTGAATGTGACCTGTACAATTCCAAAGCCGGGTCAGCCCTGAACAAACTGGGCCTGATCTGAAGGGCTCCACTTGTGCTCAGAATAGCTCAAAGAGTGTGTTTGTGTCTTCGATAAACACTTGCTTTTCTTCCTTTTCCATCAGTGGAATTTCAGCAGGATGAGAGGGGCAATAACAAACACAGGGCAAATAGAGGAGTGGCAAAGCATAATGAGTCTATTTAACAAGGGCCATAATATGATGACTGTTAGCTCGGGAGGAAGAGGCCTTGGTCAGGGGACAGCACAGAAATAGAGCAAATATTGACGTCTGTGAATTATCCTTCCGTATTAACATTCTCTAGTCATTTTTTGGGGTAGGTTTGTGTAATCCTCCTCCTCACGCCAACGTGGTTCAAACGTCGGCCAAAGGTTCTGCGCAGGGTTGGTTTAGTCTGCCGGTCGTTGCAAAACCCCAATGATTCAACAACATGCACGCCTTAAAAGTCAACATGGTGGCGGGTGATATTTGAGGCCCACTAGCTACTATAGGTTGGATTCCAATCAAATATTCCACCCTCACTTCCTCTCTCCCTTTGATGAATGTAAGCTTTATCAGGCACAGGGAGTATGCTTTTGAATTGGAATCAAGCCATGGTGCTGGTTTATACTGTAGCCTATGAGCAACATTGGAATGGACAGATCTTGAGAGAGAGGAGAATCTGCATGTATTCATCTGCGGGCTGAGATTGTGATTGACAGTGAACGGCCCGCTGAACAATACTGGGTTATAGTGTGGCCTAAGCAACATTGGAATGGACAGAGCTTGAGAGAGAGAAGAGGAGAATCAGAATGTATTTCTCTGGCTTTGATTGACAGCTGAACAATGCTGGGGGTTAATCAAATCTCAGCAGGGGTGTCTATTGTCACTGGGGCCAAGTGCAGGAGGCAGAGGGCACCAAATGGGGGCAATTGATTGGGCGAGAGGTGTCGGTGTTGAAGGATAGAGGGGTCACAGACAGAGAGCCCTGTAATGGATATGGAGCTACAAGGCCAGTGGCCGTGTGAAGATCCTCCCCCCTCCCGTCATCCACACAAACACACACACATAAACAGACACACACGCATACACAAGCAGCAGACTACCTCATTACTTATTCTGAGAGCTATAGTAGTCCAATTAGAAAACAAAGCTTGGTTACCACCTCCTTGAGGAGGCTACTCTCAACATCCTTTCAATTAATAGAATATTGATAGTTTTTAGTTTGACTACAGGAGCTTTCTGTTTGAACAAACACCATTTGCAATATGCTTTCTATCAACTGACTGAATCCTCAAGCTAATACCTCGTTCTACAAAGTCCCCTCAGTGTGTATGTGTCTCTGTGTGTGTGTGTGTCCATGTGTATGTGTGTCTGTGTGTGCGCAAGAGCAACTAGTTCCGCCATTGTCCCATTGATGACTGACACACCATCTCTTCCCCCGACACAGGCAGCTCTTTGTTGTTCCCAAGGACCAAACGAGTTCAAGGGAGGGGGGGGGGGGGGGGGGGGGGGAGCAATCTGCTGAAGGGAATGCAAGTGACAGGGGCCTTGCATGGGGCTGGCAAGGAACGGATAGAGGGGTCTTTCTGGCTGACAGGATGCAGGCTTTTTCGAGGGGAAAAAGCGGGATAGGGGGAATTAGCGAGGGAGTGGATTGTGTGTATATTATTATATGAAAGTTGTCGAGGGCCACTTTCACATCGATTTTCACAGCAGTTTTGATATTTTATCCTCAACTGTGGTTCATTGGAACAGTGAATAGGGTGCGACGAGTAGAGTCAGTGTGTACCTGTGCATTTATGCTCACACCGGTATTTGTGTCCGTATATATGTGCACTGTAAGCATGTGTGTGCATGGAAGTTTGTGTCACTCACAAACTGGAGGAAGACGTGTCCGAGGGCATGCCCGGGCTGCGGCTCCGGCTGCAGGCTGGCCTCCACTGCAGACAGCACCTCTCTGTGAACGTCCAGGATTGACTCAATGTTGGAGAACAGGATCTGTGGTAACAGAGAGAGGGTGCGTCTGAAATGTCATCCTATTCCCTATATCAGGGCTGCCCAACCCTCTTCCTGGAGATCTACTGTCCTGTAGGTTTTCAGTCCAACCCTAATTCAGCTAGTTAAAGTCTTGTTACATTTACATTTTAGTCATTTAGCAGACGCTCTTATCCAGAGCGACTTACTAGTGAGTGCTAGTGAGTGCATACATTAATTTTTTTATTTTTTTATTTTTCATACTGGCCCCCCGTGGGAATCGAACCCACAACCCTGGTGTTGCAAACGCCATGCTCTACCAACTGAGCTACATCCCTGCCGGCCATTCCCTCCCCTACCCTGGACGACACTGGGCCGCCCCATGGGTCTCTAGTGAGCCTGGATTCGAACCAGGATCTCTAGTGGCACAGCTATCACTGCGATGCAGTGCCTTAGACCACTGTGCCACTCGGGAGGTTGTTGAGCAGCTAATAAGTAGAATCAGGTGAGTTAAATTAGGGTTGGACTGAAAACCCACAGGACGGTAGATCTCCCATAGGGCCTCACTATGCAGAAGAGATCTTTACAAAATGTGGTCATTTTGGTCAAAGCATCATTAGGATAGTTTTTATAGGAGGTCATATTTACCTTGACATGCTCAGGCGACAGACACTGTTGCTCTTCGGCAGTTTGTCGGATTCTGTGCAAAAATGCCTGCGTGAGGAAAAAAGGAAAGAGAAAGATTGTGGTTAGGGTCTTACTGCATGTATCATACAATAGGTGGTATGTACAGCAATATGTAATATGGGGGATTGCAGTCGTCAGTTTACTTTAGTTTTAAGGTTCAGGTTTGGGGTAAACTTCATCCTTCGTAAATATTATGGTCTCACCTGTGTTTACCTTAAGCTCTACCTCAAATACCTTACATTCATACAGAATCCCCATGGTGCGTGTAACTAATGTATACTGTAAGCCCTTGCTATAGAAGCCATTTAAACCAATGTACCTGGGAACCCATCGGAGACACCTCTATAAATAGCTCTCTCAATTATTGAGCATCACACTTTTTTCCATTTCCTGGATGTAACTGTACTGTGATAAGCCCATGTCAGACTGATCAGCTGCTCAGTGGCTCACAACAGTGTGTTTGTGAGCACTGTGTCTCCCTGGAGTAAGCTGACCTGTCACTCAAATCCTAACGAGAGAAAACTAAAAAGGGAGGGGAACTAGAATGTCTCCTCGGTCTCTTTCTTTCACTCTTCCCACCTCTCTTCCTCTCAGGTTGTCTGTCTCTCTGAATGTCTCTCACAACTTCTACGAAGCTTAGCTTGCCAAATAGGAGCAGTGTGTGTAAAAAATGTTTTACGTGGCACTTGATCATGATGCCTAATAACACATAACGAGAAAGTCTGAAGATGGGAAATAACACCACATGGAAACAGATTGCTCATCTGGCTTTTGCAATGTGGACCCCAACATCTTGTGGGGTTTGGTGGCACTGCTTTACATCTCCTCATCCCTGTCCACAATGACAGAGCAGACAGATGCACGCACGCAATAAAATATATAGCAATAAAATAATCCCCTTACTGCAAACCCCACCCATATGGCGGTCCACGCAGACTAGAACAAATGCTTCAAGTTTCGGAAAGATTTCAAATAGTGCTTGAACCCAGGTCTGGTGCTGTTCTGCTTTGGACTTGTTCAGGACGGGTGAATTGTGCTCAAGGCATAATATACTCATTAATCCTCCCATATGGTGACTTGTACCATGTCCATGTTGAAGGAGTCCATTCATGTGGAAGATTGCCCCCTGGCATCTTAGAAGGAGGAGGGCCAAGAAACAAGGACTTCCACACTTCATGGTGAGGAGGAAAGGGGGATGGGCATGGAGGAGTGGTGGGAGGGTGGAAAGAAGATCAGGGGGGTGGTGATGGTGGAGGGGGTTGCAATGGGAGAGGAGGGGAGGTGAAAACGAGAGTCTCGGGTCACACCTTATTTGTGACTTCGTAGATCGTTCAATTGCACCATGGACGGTCTCGTTTTTAAAACGTCTAAATGTGCCACACAGATGTGGAAGAAGGGGGTTTGTACAAGTGTGCGAGGCCGCAAGCAACAAAGAGGTCCTTTCGGTGTCACCCAGACACCAGCAATTCTCACCCGGGCTGTATTGGCTATCGGCAGTGTTCCGTCACCAAATGACTGCACTCGTTTATTTTAAGACAAGAGGGGGCAGCTTTGTCCATCTCCAATCGCCATGTGCCGCCACCAGCATCACAGAACTGGGGGGGGGTGATCAGATAGCACATTGGCCGGTCAGAACTCAAAGAAAACAATTTGTGTGTGTGTGTGTGGGGGGGGGGGGGGGGGGGGGGGACAGCACACAGAGACGTGGGCTGAATATTGAGGAGTCAGTATCTTAAAAAAAAAAAACAGGTGGCTTTGGGGGAAAAAAGCAGACAAAACAATAAACAATGTGGAGAAAGTAGACATCGCAGATTCATGCTGACAGAAATCCTCCATTGGACATGCTTCTTAAATGACTATTCACTTATTACTTCCAAATCAATTAAGGTGGTAGCTTACGTCTGACACTGTGTTGTTTTTCATATATCCAGGTCTCAGGTTGCCTTTTACGCAGGTTTTTGACGTCAGTGCGCCATCATCGGAGCTTTGGTTTTCCGCCCCGGTAAGATCAACCTTTCGCAAATCAAGATAAGGAGGACACTACCATGGTTACTGTTTTTGTCGTTTCTCGCTAGGGGAGCGTGATAGAGAGGTGGGAGGCAAGCTACCAGAGGACTGGACTGACCCCTCTGTCAGAGCTGCTGTGATTGGGTGAAACAGGCGTTCTAGGTGAGCACTGAGGGACGAGACAGAAAAAGCAGAAAAAGCATCATGTGTATTTCTGTTGGGCACTCCCCACTGTCGTTGGGACATGCTTTATACATGAATGATAAAGTACAACAGGCCAGGCAAAGCCTACATAAAAGGTACAGTGGCTTGCGAAAGTATTCACCCCCCTTGGCATTTTTCCTATTTTGTTGCCTTACAACCTGGAATTAAAATGGATTTTGGGGGGGTTCGTATCATTTGATTTACACAACATGCCTACCACTTTGAAGATGCAAAATATTTTTTCTTGTGAAACAAACAAGAAATAAGATTAAAAAAACAGAAAACTTGAGCGTGCATAACTATTCACCCCCCCAAAGTCAATACTTTGTAGAGTCACCTTTTGCAGCAATTACAGCTGCAAGTCTCTTGGGGTATGTCTCTATAAGCTTGGTACATCTAGCCACTGGGATTTTTGCCCATTCTTCAAGGCAAAACTGCTCCAGCTCCTTCAAGTTGGATGGGTTCCGCTGGTGTACAGCAATCTTTAAGTCATACCACAGATTCTCAAATTGGATTGAGGTCTGGGCTTTGACTAGGCCATTCCAAGACATTTAAATGTTTCCCCTTAAACCACTTGAGTGTTGCTTTAGCAGTATGCTTAGGGGCATTGTCCTGCTGGAAGGTGAACCTCCGTCCCAGTCTCAAATCTCTGGAAGACTGAAACAGGTTTCCCTCAACAATTTCCCTGTATTTAGCGCCATCCATCATTCCTTCAATTCTGACCAGTTTCCCAGTCCCTGCCGATGAAAAACATCCCCACAGCATGATGCTGCCACCATCATGCTTCACCGTGGGGATGGTGTTCTCGGGGTGATGAGAGGTGTTGGGGTTGCGCCAGACATAGCGTTTTCCTTGATGGCCAAAAAGCTAAATTCTAGTCTCATTTGACCATAGTACCTTCTTCCATATGTTTGGGGAGTCTCCCACATGCCTTTTGGCGAACACCAAACGTGTTTGCTTATTTTTTTCTTTAAGCAATGTCTTTTTTTCTGCCCACTCTTCCATAAATCCCAGCTCTGTGGAGTGTACGGCTTAAGGTGGTCCTATGGACAGATACTCCAATCTCCACTGTGGAACTTTGTCCCTGACCTGTTTGGAGAGCTCCTTGGTCTTCATGGTGCCGCTTGCTTGGTGGTGCCCCTTGCTTAGTGGTGTTGCAGACTCTGGGGCCTTTCAGAACAGGTGTATATATGCTGAGATCATGTGACACTTAAATAAAGTCCACCTGTGTGCAATCTAACTAATTATGTGACTTCTGACGGTAATTGGTTGCACCAGATCTTATTTAGGGGCTTCATAGCAAACGGGGTGAATACTTTTCCGTTATTTATTTTTGAGAATTTTTTGAAACAAGTTATTTTTTTCATTTCACTTCACCAATTTGGACTATTTTGTGTATGTCCATTCCATGAAATCCAAATAAAAATCCATTTAAATTACAGGTTGTCATGCAACAAAATAGGAAAAATGCCAAGGGGGATGAATACTTTTGCAAGGCACTGTATGTATGCTAAAAAAAAGCAAACCAAGTTATAAATAATAAGCAGGGTTGGGGTCAATTCAGTTATTTATTTTTTGTCAATTTAATTGAAATAAATGTTTTAATTCATGAATTGTCATAGAAAACAACATTTTATTTTTCACAATTTCATCCTGAGTTGAATTGACCTCAACCCTGCTAGCAAGACACCTGACACTGCATACGTAATCCACTGTGCTCTTACAGATAGCTCAAAATAACATGCAGACTACATTAATTTAAATCATCAATACATAATGTGCTAATAACAGCACGTCAAATGATACTCTGATCGGGGCCACAAATTTCATTTTGGAGATCCTCAGATTCTTCCCGGTGATTAAGCATCTGCCACTGTACAGTGCAAGGGCAGGCACAGCTGGTGAATGGAGCAGAGGAGCAATATTGCACACCAGGGTCTGTAGCCAGAGGGGCTATGGGCTGGAAGGGAGAATTTGCTCATATGGCACTCCCAAAGGAGATCAGCTCCAACCAGCTCATCCTCAAGCTTGGCTTGCCAAACAAATGACCACCAGACAGTCCATTATTAGACACTCCAGCTATTTTTTTTACTTTTCCTGTTGAAAAACCTAATCTCAAAGAATTTAGGAAGCAGACAAATACTATGAATCATAGCCAAACCACTGAATGCCTGACACAATATCTCAACTTCTAGTTTAGGTTTGGTCTTGAGATCAAAATACCCTATCCAGTTTGCTAGCAATAGGTTATACAGTAGGGATGAGAGTATCACTTGTGGTAATTGATGAGTCTTCAACCTTGTGTGCACTGTCTCGGTCAGGGCTTGGTTTCCAGTGTGCGATCTGGACAAAGGCATACTTGATTGATTGTTTGAGCTCCAAAGAGACTTGCACGCTCTGTCACTCTTGTGTTTTTGGTGGCTTGCTGCCAGTGCCAATACACTCAGAGTGCAGGTGCACGCACACACGCGCAACTCTGCACAACTGTTCAGTCATACACCATAAGCCACAAACAACTTCAACTGCTAAATAAACCAAATCAAAACCATCAATTCTTCTACCAAAGGGGTACAATAATACTAATGAATGATTAATCATCCAGGCCCCAATACAGTCAATTCCTCGTATATGAAACCCCTTCTCTTCCTAGCCGCCATACCTCTAATTGTTGTGCCCCTCCTGAGCCGGGAGGCCACCGAGGGCTTTGTCAGGATTGCCTTGGAGATGTACTTTTATTGCTCTCTCTGGTCTGAATACATTCTGCCCCCCCCTCCTTCTCCCTCATCCCCCTCTCCTCTTCTCTCCTAAGAGCCCACCTGCTTTCAACTCATTACTGAGCCTGACTCTGGGGGTCTGTGGAACAGGAAACTATTAAATCCCACCCGCAATAAGGAGGTATTAGAAAAATGTCACCCAATATTAAACCTAGCTTAGCTGGGTGTGGTTATTTCCATGCTTTAGTGAGAGAGGCGGTGGAACGCTAGGTATTCCTATTACAGTACACTACAGCCTCAATGACAACATATTCATAATTTGTTCATACATAATGTTCATTTGCAACATGGTAATTGTTTGGACTGGATGATATGAAGGTAAAAAAGGAATGTTGTATCACTTTGTATGTAAACTGTAAAGTATTTTGTCTGCAATGTCTTTTTCATTATGTGTCGGACCCCAGTAAGACTAGCTGTCGCCATTGGCGTCAGCTAATGGGGATCCTATTAAATTAAATCAACTTTGTTGCACAAGCTGGTGCTGCAGACCCAGCTTCGATATGTTATTTCAATGGTGAGAAGAGTATGTGCAAGGGAACTGCTCACTTCCCTAAACAATGAGGGTCAACAGCATCGCAACAACCATTTTGTGACACCTTCAAGAGGCACTAACCCTGTGTGTAATCCTGAGTGAGCCCCCTTTAATAAGCCCACAGCATTGCATTTTTTCACTCGAGCGCGCTAGCTTTTCATTTGCATGTTAGTTTTTAATTAGCATTTTCACAAACATAGCACTCCTGTTCCCCCTCATTAACAAACACTAGAAGTCAATTAGTTTACACCCCATTTTACATAAATCTCACTTAGGTCTAGTACACAGATGCCCAGTTGCAAAGGATTTGCTGCTGTTTATTTTCTCTTCTTTGTTGGTGCCCCTGTGGTGTGCAAACAGGAAGTGAAAACTTTTTTTTCTATCGAAATCTATGAAAAGTGTAATTTTATTTCAAGTTAGATACGCAGTGGCTGGACTCAGAGGGGAAGGGGAAATAAACAAACAATGCACACAGAGTGAGTGAGTCGTTGCTGGCTGGCTCGCCACACAAAAGCAGCAAGGAGGCTGTCCTGCGACAGGAAGTGAAGCTTTGTGAAGAGAGGAAGTGTGCGAGTGACATGTCGGTTTGAACATTTTCAATCAGGCCACGCATGAACAGAACTGCTGGTTTTGTGCAAACAACACACTGCAAGAAGTTAAGATAGAGCTGCAGAGTGTACAGTAGTGGGCTACAGCTAAATTAATAAGTTCATGTTGGAGAATTGAAATTTGGGAAATTATCATAGCATTAAGACTAACTTTGCAGTACTGTGACATTTAAACATATTATGCCCAAAAGTCTTAGACCCACAGATAAGATGAATGCAGTTGAATTCTGAACACAGGCTACATCAAACATTTATTGGTTAGGAACCGCAACAAATTATTGGATGTCACCATAAGAGCCATGAGGCTGCACTGATACTACTCATAAAATGTGTTTGTTACAGTTTTATTTATTTCTACTTCCACACTCTAAAGTCATAGATGAAGCGCAATGAGAGCTAGTAGCCAACCCCCAACCATCACCACAGACAGATAGCCTTTCTCCGCCAAAAGCTGCCGGAGGCATGCTCAGCCAAACCCTGGGAGGGCGTGCGTGGTCCAGTCTTGTATGACCCGCAGCCAAAGAGTCAGTGGTGAGTTGGTGACCGGTTCGCCATTTGTTGTGACTTAGCGAAGCGAGGAGGGGCCAGACCGAGAGGTGTGAAGGAGCAGACGAACCATATGCTGGCGTCGGGCTCTGCATTCGCTCAACTGGACAGTGACTGGAGAGTGAAAAGGCCTGCTGCCGCCAACGTCTGCCCTCTGATTGAAGCGCCTGGGTCGGGTTCACTGGGTATGCCACAGAAAACATTTTGAAATGGAGCAATGAACAGTGATCTTTCTTATTGGAAGTTAAGGTAGTAGGCTACCTGCTCCATTTCAAAACATTCTCTCCCGTTTCGTGCCTACGGAACACAACACTGATTCTAAACACACTTTTCTGACCCGAAGCCAGAAGCCAGTCTGACTACAAGTGGTCCCGCTAAGCTTGCCAATCTCAACATGATTGTGTTAAAAGTTCTTAACATAATCGTAATGCAGAAGGATGGCCGCTTTCAATCAGCTCAAATTTTAGACATAATTACATTGAGAGTGGTAATGGTAACACAAGA